CATTTCCACAAGCACAGTCATCTCCATGCATAATGACTGGCTACGGACAGACCTGGTTAGTAACAGCGCAATATAATTAAATGTCCTTTCATCCAGGCATTTCAAAGGGCTTCATCAATGTTAATTATGCCCCAAGCCCTTGTGAAGTGGTGCTTGGTTCAATTTTGTGAGCATTTAACGTCAAGCAAAGGCGATGCCACTGGCCCAGGGGTTACACAGTTTGAACACACACCTATTAGCAGCCCTCAAGTGTCTGGCCAAAGAGTTGAGGTGTGCAGAGCTCCTGACATGAAGCCCCTCCTCCAGAGCCCAGAGCTTAAGAACTGTAAAATGGCGGTGTCTGGGTCTGCTGGCAGGGAGGGAAGTGAGGGCCCCTGCCTGGGTGGCTTCTGCCTCTGGACAAGCCACCATGCTCCTCTTCTGCAGAGGAACCATGCCCGGTGTGTTCACAGAAGTTATCTGAAGTGCTAAGTGTTCAACAAGCACACATACGTGGACGGCTAACCCAGAGCAGGGATTCGACCCTGGACTCTGTCCCAGAGTGAAACAACGGTTTCCCACTGAGGGGCGGTTGTGAGAACCACCTGGTGTTGGCCTCAGGCCAGTGTCCTCACTTGCGATGTCTCTGGTTCTTGAGTTCCTTTACCCGCAATGTCAGTTGGGGAGGGTGCGTCTGAGGCAACATCTAGTCCGGCTCCCAACTGGCTCTCGACTCCACTGGGCAGAGACCACTGAGGTGGAAAGGAGGGGAGGAAGGAGGCAAGGGCCATCCTCATTTTGAAGGCAAATACCTCGGTGGGAGCTGCTGTCAGTGGAGGATCTCAACTCCCCGAGAAGGACCAAGACTTGGCCAAAGTCACAGAGCAAGAAAGGGAAGAGCCAGACCTGATCAGGTCCTCCCAACACTTTGGTCTCCAATATACTGCAGGTGAGGTAGTACTGAGGTCTCCCCACTATCAGGAACCTTGTCTTTGGGACATAGGTAGGCCCAACTGGGACACTGTGAGAATAAAGGAGGCTCTATTAATATACATGGACATGAAGCCAGGACTTCCGGCCACTGTACTCATAGCGCAGTCTCGGAATGGGAAGTGCCACTAGCGAGGGAAGTAGGCTGAGGGCAACACTAGAAGCAGGCAGCAAGGTTTCAGACTCAGGGGCTTTCTCAGCGTGGCGTCAGCAGACCTCAATGTCAAGGGTGGGGCAGCAAGACCAAAGTCACTTCTCTCTCTGCTTCTGCTTCCCTGCGTGGATGTTGAAGACCAGCAATTCTGGGCTGGGGTCCTGCCATTGCCACTTACTGCTGTGTGACTCCAGGAGAGTTACCGTAACTCTCTGAGCCTCAGCTGCCCCTCTGAAAAATGGAGTGACTGTAAACGCTCACGGATTGTCACGTTACATGAAATAAGGCACGTGGTGAAAGACCACCCGGCACATAAAAAATACTAACACAATTCTAGCTCGTTACTATTATTTTTAAAATTTCCTTTTTTATTATCACTATTATTAGCAACAGCTCTAAGGACCCTCCTGGCTCCAAGAATTGATGTTTTATCAGCTACAACTCTGGGAAAGAACGGTTTCCAGAAAAGCAGCCCAAGGTCACAGAGGCGGGAAACCTTGCTTGGATAGTGGTATCTGAGTGAAACCAGCTCAGATCTCCCGTTCCAAAATCTGCTTTACATCTGCCAACGAGGGCCTCTATTTAAACACCACGGTGATAAGACCAGTCATCACTTGCTATTTAAACTGACCTCCCACAATCCCTTGGGCTTGAGACTGCCAAGAGCTAAGTATAAACTGCATTTTGGCTTGCTCTGAGGGTTACTCACATTCAAATACAAGAGATGCATCAGTCTGGCTGAACCAGGCTCTGCTGCCCTGTAACCTGGCTTCAGGCCAGCTCCCTGACGCTTACCTTCTCCGGTAGGGGAGGCACTATCTTCCCCAGGATTGCTATTTCAACACTTAATAACCAATGTCAGGGAGAGAAGGGGCCTTGCAGAATGGCTGGCACAATGCGGGGAGTGGTGGATAAAAGCTGATGGATAAAAGCAAGGGCCTTGGCAATGCACAGACTCAATTCGAATCCTAGCTTTACTACCTATTGACTGTGTGGCCTTGGGTAAGTTAATTAACCTCTCTGTGCCAGTTTCCCAATATGTAAAATGGGATTATAATAGTATCTACCTTATGGGGCTTTGTGGGGATCAGCACAGTCCCGGCCATATAGTAAACACTCAACCAATGTTCACTGCCATTATGATCATGATGATTACTATAGTCATTGGAATTGGCTACAGAAGCATGATAAAGGACCTATATTTTCCTGCCAGGAAAACTGCCAGAGGTGATACCTGAGCTGGAGCTGGAAGGATAGGTAGGATTTCTATCAGTAGAAACGGGATGGTGCAGGCAGCTTCAGTTTCCTTCATCTGTACATTCAGGTCATCCTCCTAACCACCCCTGTAGGATGGATTTAAAGCTGAGCTGCAGAAGAGTTGCAGAGCTTTCCGCCAAGTTATACTGATAGAAAGCGAGGAAGCTGGGATTTGAGGCCAGGTCTCTCTGATTCTAAAGGCCATGCTCTTAACACCTGTTGTATCTCCATTTTTTTATCAAATTCTGTCCTGAAGGGTAAGGTACTGACAGAAATAGCTCTCCCTCCCCAGATGTAAACCCCTTCCGGGAAGAGATATCTCAATTATGTATACAGCCCCCTCCCAGGCATGGATAGCAGGTGCTCAGCTGAAATGCCTATTTGCATTTCACTGAGGCCCGACTCTTGACTCTTCGGGACTGAGGCCAAGCCTCCAGGAACCCCAGGCTATGCTGTCTCCCGGGCAGCTGGCCTCCTGGCCTCTCTTTCACAAATCCCCCCTCCACACCACACCACCGCCCACCCTCCCCACCCCAACAACCAGGGCAGAGAGCAGGGCTGCCGTTCAAGGCAAACAGCTTCCTCCTGACTTCATCCTGATCGAGTTGGATCTGGGCCCTCTTAATGTTTTCCTTGCCCCAAAGATAGACGATGTCAGGGCAGCCTGCCCAGCCCATATAACCGCCTTCCCCTGAGAGCCACCCACAGGGCCAGCACCCCCAGAAACCTGTTCGCTGTGTGACTCCACCCCCCTGCCCGCCACAAATTGGACCAGGGTAGACACCTGACTCAAGCTGGCCAATCAGGTCTTCCCTCCTTCCAAGGTGGGGTAGGAGTCCCGATCCTTCCAATCTCCACTGTCCTTCCTACCTCTGGTTCCAGGAGCTACTCCGTAGTCTTTTAATAGTTTTTTCTTTTGCCTCATCACCTCTGCAGTGGGTTTTTATTCCTTGCAACCAAAATAGCCGTAACAAAATCAAGGAGGAGGAAAACAACTTCCCCAGGCAGAATTAAGTACACCTTCCTCTGCTTTAAGCACCTTCATCTGCTCCTCTTTGTAACGACAGGCACTTCTGCCTCCTGCATGGGCTAGGTGCTTTTTCATTGATCCACATGATTGGAGGGATGAGGGATGGAGGGAGGTATTACTACAGCATTCTACCCATAACAGAAGCTCTGAGAGGCCAAGTCATATGTCCAATGGCACTTAGCTAGGAAGGAGCAGAGTAGGGATTGGAACCCAGGTCGTCTTCTTCCCTTTATCCCCCCTGGAACTTCAGTTGGCTCCTAACTTTGCCCACGTGCCTGTCTCCCACCTCAATTCTTTTTTATTTTATTTTTTTAAAGATTTATTTTATTTATTTGAGAGCGCGTGTGCACACAGCGTGGAGGGGCGAGGGGGTGCGGAGAGAGAGTCTGAAGGAGACTCCGTGCTGAGTGCAGAGCCCAGAGGGGGTCTGATCTCACAACGCTGAGATCAGGACCTCAGCCGAAACCAAGAGACAGAGGCTTAACCCACTGTGCCACCCAGGTGCCTCCTCCCACCTCAATTCTTCTTGTTGGTAGAGTTACCATGATTGATTTCTCTCTGCTCTGGCACGAAGGTATTTCTGTAATAAGTAACTGAATTAATTTGTAATTAAAATGGAAACTTACTAGAAGTCTCATGTGGGAGAGTGTTCTGTGTTTGTCTGTATTTGTCTGTATTTGTCTATTTGGCATCCATTCATCACAGAACCAACTGTATTAACTGTATTTTCTTATGTTCTGTATGCTTGATGCTCTGGCATGTGTGGCCTCCCTCACCAGGCACCAGACCCCCTCTGCCGGGCCAGCCAATTCTTAGAAATAGCGAAGGAGCATGCGCTGCAGCACTGTTTACAGTCACCCCAGCTTAGAAACAACCTGAACAGCCAGCAATAGGGAATCTGTCCAGAAAATTTTGATAGGGCAACTCAACAGATTATTGGGCAATCATTCAAAAAGTATGTGTCAGGTCATGATCCCGGGGTCCTGGGATCGAGCCCCGCATCGGGCTCCCTGCCTGGCGGGAAGCCTGTTTCTCCCTCTCCCACTCCCCCTGCTTGTGTTCCCTCTCTCGCTCTCTCTCTATCAAATAAATAAAATCTTTTTTTAAAAAAAAAGTATGCGTTAAATCACTACTACTCGATGACATGGGGAAATAGCCCCCACACAGGCTTAAGTCAAACAACCAAGATGCAAAACTGTCTGTACAATCTGGTCCCAAATGTGTAACACCAAAAAAAGACAGGAAGGAAATATCCTGAAATATGAACAAAGCTTGTCTCCAAGTAACAGAGTAGGTGATTTAAACAACAACAGATCTTCCAAGTGGGAAAGCATCCCTTTAAAAATATTTCTCTACCTTTCAATTTTTATGTCTTTCTCCAACCCCCTATTTTTATGTATTTCCATGAGCATTTCTTTCCTCTGGATTACACGTTCTCCTACCAGTGGGGGGCGGGGGGGGGGGAGGGAGGCGGCTGCCTGTTTCTGCCAGTGACAGGCACGCAGCCCCTGGAAACGTGTTAGCCAACACTGTGCTGTGTTACTCTCTTGTTAGAAAAACACAACATTTCAAAACCACAAAAGCTCTTGCCTTGTAGGAGAAGGAAAGCTCGCTGAGCGGGTTGGCGCTGCTGGTGGGCGGCAGCTGGTGCAGCTGCAGGGCTGCGCTGTGGGCTTGGTCCATGGTGCTCTAAAGGCACATCCCTGGGCCTGGCCTGGGAGCTGCTGCTACGCGGGGCCCAAACCGGAGACCATCTTCCCTGGCGGTGTTCACCTCCTCCCACCAGCCATCGGAGGACTTCAAAGCTCTTCTGGCTGGCTGACAGCTTCTCCTGCACCTCCACGCAGAGAAGTGCCAAGTTCTGTCTCTCCCAAGCAGACGGACAAGGGTGCAATTCCTTCTCCTGGCGGTGCTCTAGGGGGGTGGGGAGGAGCATTAAAAAATGCATGTACAATGTGACATAGAGCCCAGCTTTGTAACCCGAGGAGGGAATACTATGAGGACAAAAAACAACCTATCATAAGAAGTGAAGCCCTTAAAAAAATTGTATCATGCCCCTGGTTCCCTTGATAAAGATGTGGCTCATCTACCTTGGAACCTTCCCCCCCCCCCCCCCCCCGCCCCATAAAACTCACCTTTTCTCTTCCCCCCTGTTTCTTTCCTCCCATCACATCCTAATTTAAATCCTACCTTTTCTAGAGGCTCCCCTACACATAAGAGGTGGGATACTGCCCTTGTCTACCTCTGCAGGTCTCCAAAAAAATATCCCTTTGCCACAAAACAGGAACCATCTGTGTTCTGACTTAGGGAAGAAAGAATGAGAAGATGTGGATGGTGGAAGAACTGAGCTGCTACCGAGGGTCAGTCGAGCACAGGTGAGCTAACACTGGGCCCCGGCAGAAGACCTGTGTGACCGGATCACATCAGCTCTGGGAGCCTCAGGTGCCTCATCTGTAAAGTGGGGGTAATAATGTGGCCTCAAGTAAAATCGGCAATGACAGTAATTCGGACTGTCATTGTTAACTTTATCGGGCTGATAATTTTCAGCACAGGTCAAGCTTTTCTACCAAATAAGAAAGAAAGATGAAGTATATGCTCCTAGGGTTCTGGGAGGCATGGCCAGAGCACCTTACTGCAGTGCTAAGGGTTTCTCTGAGGTCCTCGTATAGTAAAAAAAAAAAACCCATACAAATTTGGATTCTCCTACAAAGTCTGTTTTGTTTTGTTTTGTTTTCCCAACGTGGGAGCTTGAACTCACAACCCTGAGATTAAGACCTGAGCTGAGATCAAGAGTCAGATGGTTAACTGACTGAGCCCACCCAGACACCCCTCAATGTTTATTTTAATATAAAAATGTTACAGCTTTTGATCTGTTATATGCTACCTGTTTGCCTTGGCCAAGTCATTTAACTTTCCAGGCAGTTTTATCTGCTGTAAAATACAGATAATAACATTCCTACCTCACCCCTCAAGGTTGTTGTGAGAATTTGATGAAATAATGCATGTAAAATGCATGCATAGCAAATGGCCAATGAATGGCAGCTATTATTAGTATTAATTTTATTCTTATAAGTTTAATTGCTGAATTTACCCACAGATATTCCTCTTTCTTTCATGCATTCATGCAACAAATATTTATGGAGGGCTGACTGTGTGTCAAACAGATGCAGCCTCTGCCATGCCCCCAAGGCTTTAGAAAGTTGCCTCTGAGTCCTGTAACTTCCAGTTCCTTCTGTTATCTAGCCCTGCCCCCAGCAATCCTGGTTCCTGGTGTGAATAGCACAGTCATATGTCACAGGGCTAACACTGTGTCCAGAATCTAGGAGACACTGGATGCAGGGCTTAGCACCGGGGCAGCCAGGAAGACCATTTGGCTCAGGTCTCACTTTGTTGAAGGGCCTCAAAATTAAATTATTGCTGCTGCCTCCAGATGACATTCTACATTCGCTGTATATTCAATACCGTAATTATATATACACACATATACATATGGTACATATCTATATACAATATACACAAGGTACACTCATCAGACAATTTTATAACTCACATCCCAGAGCCAGACTTCCCTGACTGTAAAGACCTATGAATATTTGCAATCTTGTGAAAAGTATAATTATTCTTCACTATACTTTGTGTGGGTGAAAAGCATGACTGTGTTAAATTTATGTATTTTAATGTTTTGAATATAGTAAAGAGTGCCCCAGGGAGAGACCTCCGAGAGACCCTTGCAGGCTTTCAACCTGGCCTGGAGCTGAAGGGGGCACTGGAGCCCAAACTGGGAAGGTGTCTGCTGAATCCCCTGTTCAGTTGCAGCTTGCCAAGGTCCGGCCCAGAGCCCGGCATGGTGACCTCCAAACATACCTACTGACTGGCTAAAGGCAGGCCTGTGGAACACCTGGGGCAGCTCGCAGTCAAGAATGAATGGCTTACTCAGGCCTAATCAACCACAACTCCAGAGATACAACAGCTGTAGCCAGCCCCGCCCACAGGATGTCAGAGAAAGCAAACAGGCCTTGAGGACATGCCAATGGGGTGATGGAAACCCAGGCCTCCTAACCTTCTTTGGACCAGCCGCTTTGTTCAGGTGGGTTTCTGTTTTCGCTTTTGTTGGTGGAGTTGTTGCGGTCATTTAATTCCCTTTTTTTTTTATTTTATTTTATAGATTTTATTTATTTATTTGAGACAGAGAGAATGAGAGACAGAGAGCATGAGAGGGAGGAGGGTCAGAGGGAGAAGCAGACTCCCTGCTGAGCAGGGAGCCCGATGTGGGACTCGATCCCGGGACTCCAGGATCATGACCTGAGCCGAAGGCAGTCGCTTAACCAACTGAGCCACCCAGGCGCCCCATTTAATTCCCTTTTTAAAAGCAGCTTCCCTTTTTGCCTCAGGGCAAAGGCCTCTAAGGCATCCCCTGCAAAGGCAGGAGGCACTCCCTCAGCCAGGTAGGAGTTAGGACAGAAAGCTTTGCTGGAACTCTTTGCAAGTTTTTCTCCCTTTTAAGGCGCACATTGTTAACCTAGTGAACCTCCTTTTCTGCCTTCAAAGCACTTTTTCAGCACTAACATATGCCCAAGAGGCAAGCGGCCAACTCTGTGTTCCCAGCGACCCCTTAATTCTGAGGCCCTCACAGCCAGCAGTAAGAACAGGGTCATTGACTCAAAAAAGGAAAGATAATTCTCGGTGCTTGCTTCCATTCCATCCCCCTACCTTATCTCAGTGAATTATTTCACCAATCCACAGAGCAGGTTGGACAGATGAGAGGACCACAGCTCATGGCTGCTAAGAGAAGGGTTTGTATCAGAATTTGGCTCTATCTGAAAAAAATCAATAAAACACGCCCTTTCCCACCACCTGACGATTCAGCTTTTGGCCGGTGGTGAGTGCCAGTTACGCCAAGCCCTTTCCTTTTCCTGGGCTTTGGCTCACTAAAAGGTTACACTCCTCCCCTCCCACTGAGCTGGAAACTATAACTTCCCGCATACAGTGTAGATCAAGAATGCCTCCCCGTATCCCACCTGCTAACTCCACCATCGGCTACTGCCAGGAAGCCCGAGCCGGCGTGTAGAGAAATAATTTTGGCAAAGTTACTGCATTTCACTTCCTGATTTGGTAAAGCCTGCCATCACCTACAGTAAGGCAAACCCATGCCCCCCCCCCCCCCCCCCCCCGCAAAAGCGGGGAAAAAACCATTCCGAGGCAGCGAGACCCAGACCGGCAAGCCTGGTGACAGCAAGAAGGAAGGGTATTTGTACTAGGGGACGTTAGATGATTCCAAATGCATTACCTTTCCTGAAAAAGCGAAGGCTGACTTGAAGTCCCCCCTGTCTCAGGCTTAATCACTACTCACCGGGCGGTGTCTCCTCTAAGGCCCACCTATCCCAGGTTTCTGAGAAACGACTCGGACTCTCCGCGCAACCCGGAGGCACAGCCTCCTTAATTCCTTCCCCAACTCAAGAGCTGCCTGAGCGCTGCAGTGTTTTGCTTTCAAAGGCCACGATTTGATTTGCCAGGCCGCCTGCCAGTCAGAAGCTGGCGGAGACTTCGTGCAGGCGAGTGGCTGCGAGGAGGGGGTGGGCGGGACAGCCTCCGGCTATTGGCTGCGCCGCAAAGCTTGCTTGAAGCGTAGTGGGAGCGCCTCGGGGAGGCGGGGCCCCCCTCTCGAGCTTTGCGCTCACCTGGAGGGGGTCCCCTCTAGTGGCCGCGCCAAGGACGTTGGAACAAACACCTCTCTCTCCGCCTGTCCTGGAGAGCTCGGGTGACTGCTCACCTCCCCTGCCCGACAGGTGGGCAGCCTGCCAGGAGTCCACCTTCCAGTTCTCAGCGCCACCTCCCGGGCTTTGCTCCTGCTGTTCCTCCACCTTATACTCTCACCATGCCTTCAAATCCTTCACGTCCCTCAAGACCCGGCTGCCCGCAAAGCCTTCTCGAGTACTCGGGGGGCATATACAATTCCCTTGCGGGCCCTCCCCTAACACCTGTTGGCTGCGCTATGTGCCAACCCTCCCAGCGTGTCCGCCGCTCCGCAATGGCTTAGGTCTCCTAGTGAGCCTGGCACTTGATGAATGCTTTGGTAATGTACAACTGTATACAGTAAGCAATAAATGTACTCGACACGTGCTTGGAGCTTACACTTTTTCACTTACACGCATCTCACTTCAGATCCTCGCAATAACCCCCTGAGTGAGACTTTGAGCTCATGCCCATTTTACAGATGAAGAAATGGCATTTGGGCCCAGACCCCAAGGAGGCAGAAAGAGCCAGTTTGGGTTCAGATCTGGAGGCAGAGAGAGCTCAGAAGGAACACCTGAGAGCAGAACGAGGTTGGCATTTCGTAGGAACTATCCAAAGGACAGCGTGGCTGGTGCAAGATTTTTCTGGGGCGTGGGGTGGTACGAGCTGCCATCAGAGGACCGGCCAGGGACAGAGGTTTGGATTCATCCTAAACTTATGGGGGGCCACTGCGGGTTCTAAGCAGGGGAGTGACAACATCACCGTGACTGCTCTGAAGCTTGTAAAGGGGGGATTCAAGGAACACTGTGTGTCTGTCCTTGTATCGTTGCCCGTATCAGTCTTTTTTCTTTTACTATTATACACAGGGCTTGGATGAATGTTAGTCGTCGTCTTCTAACTAGGATTTCCTGGTAGACAAAATTCTAAGGCTCTTGGTCTATCACAAGATATTTGAGGGGTCATTTAGATAACCCCCTATTAAGTTTCCCCACTAGTTCTGATGTAATTAACCCGAACCCTAAAATTCTGGCAGTTTCCCTAAGGTTTTGTTTTTTGTGGTTTTTTTTGTTTGTTTGTTTGGGGTTTTTTTTTGAAACGCCTCTAACGATTGGCCAACAACTTTTCACTCTAAAGAAAACAGGAAACCATTGGCTAGTTACTCAGGAGGCGGCCTAAAGGGGGACTCTAGAATGTTAGGCCCGTGGTTTCCATAGCGACGGGGAGGCTGGGTAGCCCAGATTCAGCCCAGGGAGACCCAACGAGGTAGGAGGCAGTTCCTGTCTGGGAACGGGTGGCGGGGTCGTGGGGAGGAGGACCTGCTGGGCGCGTGCTGGTTGGTGTTCCATGGTGGGAAGAAGCCGCAGTCGGAGGTGCACCTCCCTGATGGTGTGCCCTCAAAGCCCCCACCTAAAGGGGTGCTGGTAATCACGGGGTGCCCTCCCCATGGGGCTCCTGCGAGGGGCGTGGCCATCTGAAGCCCCTCTGCCTCTGCAAATATACACACAGATCGGGGCTCTGGTGCCGGGCAGTGGGTGGACGAAAAAGAGCTGAGTTCTAACCCTGGGGCCGCTCCAGTGTGTGTGTGTGGGGGGGGGGGGCTCAGCAAAATCTTCCCTGCTCTGCGCCTCAGTTTACCCATCTGTAAAATGAAAGGGTAAGATTGGAATTTAGCGGTCACTAGCCGGCTGCTAAAGCTCCTTCTCGCTCTCTGACATGCTTTCTTAGTTTCTCATATGAAAAGTATGAAGTGGATTGTTTCCCTGAGTGCGCTTTGAAAAATGTAAAATACTTTCAAGATGCACCATAGCATTATGTATAACTGAATTGATAAAAATCTCATGTCCTCAAAACTGTTCATGCAAATACCGTAAAATTCCCCATAAGGTAACAGTATACATGATTTAGTATGTATTGACATATACTGCACATTAATATGCATGTATAAATGTATAAGATATGTGATAATACTCTAACATAAATGATAGGTTTTTTTTAAACATATAGTAGAGTGGAAACACATTTGTATTTATAGTCAGGTGAGTTAAATCCTTACAGAATGTAGCTCCCAAAGGAAAGAGTTGTATTATGACTACATCAGTATGCATTATGGCTAGAATATATCTACCCCTAGTATTCATTCATTACACAGATATTATTGAGCAACTACTATGTGCCAGGAAACAGACTGGGGATTTAGTGAGGATTCTATTCTATTGGGGAGACCATATACAAAGAAGTACGTATAAAATGTGATTTGGGGGAGTAAAAAGTGCATTGAGAAACATAAGGCAGGGTCAGGGGTAGAGAGAGAGGGGTGGTGCTCCTTAAGAGAGAGTGGCTAAGGAAGACATCCCTAAGACAGTTTGAGGAGAGACCCAGATGAATTTGATGACAGGGCCAAAAGATGATACCCAGCATAGGGAAGGAAAGAATCCCCATGCTACAAGGAGGTATTGCAGATGCTGAAAAGGTCCCATGTCTTTAGGTGGTGGGATATGACAGCTGCCTTCACATACTTGAAGAATAGTCATATACAACCGCGGCTTTCAAACTTTTTGATGTGACCCATGGTAAGAAATGCATTTTATATTGTGGTCCAGCACATACACTCATGACAAAAATTTCACAAAAGACTGTAGGCTGTGACCTGCGTTTTGAAAATCACCACTGTGGAAGAGGAGTGAGATTTTCTCCAGGCTGATTCCAAGGGGTGGAATTAGGATGAGTGAAGGGGGGAAAAAATGAATCAGCTTTGATACAGGCAGGAACTTTCTAGTAATTGGAACTACACACCAGTGAATTGCCTCAGGAATTTTCAAACTGAGTTCTGGGGAAGCCCAGCATTCTGTGAAAATTCCGACAGCCTCAGATATTTGCTTTATATTTTGAAAACGCTATGCAATAGCCTAGTTTTAAAAAACCAACCATATCCACTCAGGGCTGCCAAACGTCAAAATTGAGCATGTTAACGTTTAGTGTATGCTGCCTTAGAGGGTATGATAGTGGTTAAGAGTGAGCAGAAGTCAGGCTTCCTGGGTTCAAAGCCTGATTCCACCTCCTACTTCTTTTTTTTTTTTTTTTAAGATTTTATTTATTTATTCATGAGAGACAGAGAGAGAGACAGAGGCAGAGGGAGAAGCAGGCTCCCCGCGGAGCAGGGAGCCCGATGCGGGACTCCATCCCAGGACCCTGGGATCATGACCTGAGTCGAAGGCAGACGCTTAACCGACTGAGCCACCCAGGCGTCCCTCCACCTCCTACTTCTGCTGTGACCTTGAGCAAGTCACCTAACTCTTCCCTCTAAACTTCAGTTTTCTTATCTATAAAATGAGGATAATACCTCACTGGGTTGTTATAAGGACACCATGAAGTATTCTATACAAGGTATTTAAGACTGTCAGTGTTCAGTAAATGATAGCTATTATTTTAAGCTGTTACTACATTATTCCTGTGCACGTGTTAAAACCTAATATTCATAAAAGCCTACCATGGGGCGCCTGGGTGGCTCAGTCGTTAAGCATCTGCCTTCGGCTCAGGTCATGGTTCCGGGGTCCTGGGATCGAGCCCCGCATTGGGCTCCCTGCTCAGCGGGAAGCCTGCTTCTCCCTCTCCCCCTCCCCCTGCTTGTGTTCCTGCTCTCGCTGTCTCTCTCTCTCTGTCAAATAAATAAATAAAATCTTAAAAAAAAAAAAAAAAGCCTACCATGGACCAGGCAGCAGCATCTACTTCATTATATGGATCATTGTATTTAATCCATAAGCATCTTGAGAAGAAAGTACTGCTGTTACCATTCTCGGTTGATGGAGGGGGCAGTGGGCTCAAAAGATGAAATAACTCATCTAGAATCAGAACTAGGAAGTGGCAGAGCATAACCTTGAACCCAGGGATACTCTTGATTACCGTACAGGTGCTCACCTGGGAGTTGCTTGGACATATGCCACTGATAAGGAAGGTGGTATATCTTCATTACTCTTTTTCGAGATTGTAGGCTGTGACATCCTGTCATGAACAGTGACACAAGGAACTTTGCCAGTAGGGCACATCTGGGCAGTGCTCCATTCACACCTGGGCTGCACTGCTCTCATCCTGGCTTCACAGGTATGCATACCAACACTGGAAAGCATTATCAGTACATTATCAGAAACAATCAGTTGTGGATTGTTTCAGAAAGTCTTTTTAATTTCTTATCTTTTCTAAAAATTGAAGGGGCACCTGGGTGGCTCAGTTGGTTAAGCGACTGCCTTCGACTCAGATCATGATCCTGGAGTCCCGGATCAAGTCCCGCATGGGGCTCCCTGCTCGGCAGGGAGTCTGCTTCTCCCTCTGACCCTCCCCCCTTCTCGTGCTCTCTCTCTAGCTCATTCTCTCTCAAATAAATAAATAAAATCTTTAAAAAATTTTTTTTAAATTAAAAAATAAAAAAAAAAAAATAAAGCTTGAAACTGAATGAAATCAGCAAGGGAGTGAGTATAGACAGAAAAGACAAGAGGACCAGGGAGTGAGTCCTGGGCATTTCACTGCTTAGCAGATGAGGGAATGAGGAGACAACAAAACAGCAGTCAATGAAATAGAAAAATCAGGGCGGGAGACTGTCTTAGATGCCAAGTGAAGAAAGTATTTCAAGGAGGAAGGAGTGATCAGCTGTGCTGCAGGCAATCTATAGGTCTAGTAAAATATGAGGATTAAGAATTGACCATTAGAATGGAAGGAATTTTGCAAATCATATATCTGATAAAGAAAGGATTTATACCTAGAATATATAAAGAACTCTTAAAATTCAACAATAATGTTAAAAATAATGTAATTACAAAATGGGCAAAGGATTTGACATCTCCAAAGACAGAGATGGCCAGTAAACACATGAGAAGATATTCAGCATCATTAGCCATCAGAGAAATCCAAATAAAGACCACAGTGAGATGCCAGTACCACCTCATACCCACTAAGATGGAAATAATTTTTTTTTTTTAAAGATTTTATTTATTTATTTGACAGAGAGAGACACAGCGAGAGAGGGAACACAAGCAGGGGGAGTGGAAGAGGGAGAAGCAGGCTTCCTGCTGAGCAGGGAGCCCGATGTGGGGCTCGATCCCAGGACCCTGGGATCATGACCTGAGCCGAAGGCAGATGCTTAACCAACTGAGCCACCCAGGCACCCCTAAGATGGAAATAATTTAAAAAAACAAAACAAGGAGTGCCTGGGTGGCTCAGTCATTAACCATCTGCCTTCGGCTCAGGTCATGATCTCAGGGTCCTGGGATCGAGCCCCGCATCGGGCTCCCTGCTCAGCTGGGAGTCAGCTTCTCCCTCTGACCCTCCCCCTCTCATGTGCTCGCTCTCTTTCTCATTCTCTCTCTCTCAAATAAATAAACAAAATCTTTAAAAAAAAATTGATAAGGTGCCCATATCACCATTGTAATAGGAAGCTTAAATTTTTTCTAATCACTTGTAGTTCTAACATATTAGTGCATTTTAATTTATTATTTATTTATTTTTAAGATTTTATTTATTTATTTGACAGAGAGAGAGAGAGAGACAGTGAGAGCAGGAACACAAGCAGGCGGAGTGAGAGAGGGAGAAGCAGGCTTCCCGCGAAGCAGGGAGCCCGATGTGGGACTCGATCCCAGAACCCTAGGATCATGACCTGAGCCAAAGGCCCGACGCTCAACGACTGAGCCACCCAGGCACCCTCGTTTATTTATTTTTTAATTAAACTTTTGTTTGAGTGTAGTTGATAAACAATGTTACATTAGTTTCAGGCATATAACACAGTGATTCGCCAAGTTTGAACATTAAGCTGTGCTCACCTCATTAGTGCGTTTTTAAAATCAGAGCTTTATTGTAGCTAGGGAAGTAGATGGTAGAAGTACTAAGTACTTAGTAGAAGTACTAAGACAACGACACAGCACTGTAGGGTGGTAAGGGAATGGTGGTTGCTTTTATAGATCCTAAAAGACATTTTTATACTGGAGTGGCCATGTTGCTGTGAGCATTATTGATTTCTGGTGCTTTGAATCTCTTAGCCTCTTGGAGTGTGTTGCCAATAACTCTCGTTAATATTAAAATTTCAATATAGAGTGTTATACAGAGAAGCTTGAGCATTGCCACTGTGAGAGAGTCAAGTGAGGAACAAACACTGAAGGTGAAAAGGATTGGTAGAGCACGCCATCATTCATTCAGTCCTTCCTTTGTCAATAAATGGCGTGAGTGCTTGAGGAAAAAAAGATGGGCGAAATAGAACTCATCTGTCCATGAAAGATTAACTGCTATGGAAACTGAATCCTGCTCCCGCTGTTAACAACTAAAACCCAGACTCTCATGAGGCAACTGGTTTTAGACATAAGATAGCTTGGTTTGGCATTTCCTCAGAAAGGAAAAACAAGGCGAGCCCTGCAGTTACCAGAGCTTCCTGCTGGGGGCAGTTTCCAGGCCACCATTCAGGGAGAGGGGACCCAAACAAAGCCCAGCTTTCTGGATTGGGGAGATAGAAATCAGAGTTCAGGGAGCCCAGAGAGGTTGGCAGGCGAGAATTCTACCACTGAACCACCCATGTGCCCAGAGAGGTTGGAATCTATAGGGGAGAACGCCACAGAGGAGGGACCTGCACAGATAAAGTTCAGGAATAGGAAGAAGGTTCTCCTCAAGTATTTGACTGACTGGTGATGACCATGACAGTGAGATACTACCATTCAACCACTAGAATGCCTAAAATGAATAAAACTTATCAAACAAGTGTTGGTCAGGATGTATAGCAATTGGAACAACCTACCACTACACATATCGATGTGGAAGAATCTTAAAAGCTTTGTGTGAAAAAAGACAGTCACAGAACGGTACATACTGTATGATTACATATATATGACATTCTAGAAAAGGCAACTGTTGGGACAGAAAGCAAAGCAGTGGTTGCTAGATGCCACGGTTGGGAGGGTATTGAAGGCGAAGAAACACAGGAAACCCTTTGGGATGATGGATGTATTTGTGTGTGAATTGTGATGGTATTTGACACAATTGTAAACATTCGCCAAAACTTAAAATTGTGCACTTAGAGCCAATGAATTATATTGTATGTCAATTATCTTGATAAGGATACATTTATAAAATTCAAGCCTTCAGTAGCTCTGTAAGCAACATCAACAATGAACCCTTACAGGATTCCTATTACAGGCAGTGCAATATGCTTGGAAGTCAGGGTTGTAGCACTAGGTAAATCTCCGCCTCTTCCCAGAAGATTGCTCAGTCTGTTCTGCAGATAGAACAGAACCCAATCAACATAGTTAACGAGAATGTGAAATGATCCCTACAAATGCTGTATTTTGCTGTTCCAGGTACTTAGAAGAACATGTAGTAGAGTTTTTCATCAAACAAATGGAACATATCACAGAACTTTGCTAAGATGGACAACTCGACACATAAAGACCAACACCCTGACAAAAAATATTCCAGCCATGCCAACAAATTACAGAAAGGTCTTGTGAATTTATTAACAGATATCTTTGAGGGGAGGAGAGAACTCTTTTTTTTTTATAAAGATTTTATTTATTTATTCATGAGAGACAGAGAGAGAGAGAGAAAGAGGCAGAGGGAGAAGCAGGCTTCCCGCCGAGCAGGGAGCCGGATGCAGGGCTTGATGCCGTGGGATCATGACCTGAGCCAAAGGCAGACGCTTAACGACTGAGCCACCCAGGCGCCCCGAGAACTCTTTTTTTTTTTTTTTTTTTTAAGATTTTACTTATTTATTTGAGAGAGAGAGAGAAAGAACATGAGCGAGGGGGAGGGGCAGAGAGAGAGGGAGAAGCAGGCTCCCCGCTGAGCAGGAAGCAGAACTTGGGGCTCCATCCCAGGACCCTGAGATCATGACCTGAGCCGAAGGCAGACGCTTTAACTGATTGAGCCACCCAGGCGTCCTGAGAACTCTTGACATATGTTCTTTTTGGCACATAAGAACACATTTTAGAGGAATATTGTAAATTCTGCATCATACCCACAAGGCCATCCTTAAGACATACCAGATAGATTGCTTTCAAAGGTGGCTCTCACTGCTTCTTGGGTGATGACTGGGAAGAAACTGTGAAAAGAAAGGATGAGGAGGGAAGTAGGAGGAAGTCTATTCCCCACACTTGTTATTTCTAGGTATCTGGTAAAAATCTCAGTCCTCACACTTAAATGTGTAAAGAGATCTTACTTTCTCGATTCCTAAAATTAATGCAAGCCCCCCACGCTGCTGGGTTGGTGGCAAGTTGAACTCCAGCCATTACGGGTACAAATCCTATGTCCTCTTTGTTTCAAGTTTTGGATCTTTCTCAGTAGAAAAAGGTGTGATGGCTGTGTGGGGGAGGGGAAGGAGCACTAGGGTCATTGCTCATCCATCCACACAGGGGAGAGCTCCACTGTCCCAGCCCACAGGCTCCCTTTGGTTTTGTTGGTATGTGCTAATTCTGGACCACACCTGGGGTTTCGGAATCCTTGCTGGGGCTGGAAACCTCATTCCAAGATCCTTACTCCACCATTTTTTCTTTCTTTTGGGGTATTTCCCCCTCTCTGGTGCACTTCTAGAGTCCCTGCTACTCTCCAACCCAGAACCAGACCTTTCTTTCTTCCTCCCATCCTTCGATTTTGTGCTCTTTTTCTTTAATACTTTTAAAAATGGAAGCATTCAGAAAAAGTACACAAATCATACTTATACAGCTTAATCAATATTCACAATGAAAATACAACCGATAGAATCACTCTCTCAGACCAAGAAAACAGAATCGCTGCAGTATCCCAAAAGCCCTGTCTTGTCGCTACCCCTTCTCTGTGAAAGTAAATACTACAGCTATCCTGACTTCTAATATCATTAATTACTTTAGCCTGTTGAACTTTTAAAAAAAAAGATTTATTTATTTATTTTAGAGAGACAGAGACAGAGAGCACCTACACGGTGAGGAGGGAGGGACAGAGGGAGAGAGAATCCCAAGCCAACTCCCCATTGAGCTTGGAGCCTGTGGGGGTGGGCGTGAGCTTGATCTCATGACTCTGAGATCATGATCCCTGAGCCTAAATCAAAAGCCAGATGCTTAACCCACTGAGCCACGCAGGAGCCCCTACTCTGTTTTTGAACTTTAGATAAATTGGAATCATACAATATGAAGTTTTTTCTCTCAGCCTTTTTTCATTCATGTTTGAGAGATTTAACTTCATGTTTTATATATCAGTTAATAGTTCGTTTTTGTTGCTATTAAGTTTTTCTCTGTTTGAATACAGCGCAACTTATTTATCTATCCATTCTACTATTGAAGGACATTTGGGTTGTTTCCAGTTTGGGGCTACTATGAATAAAAGTTCTTCTAACTAGGCTCGTACATGTTTTGGGGACATACATGTAATGTATGTATGTCATCAATACCTCAGAGTAGAATCGATGGGTCCTAGGATGTGTTTATGATCAGCTTGGTGGATACTGCCATTTTTCCAAAGTACTTTTGCCAATTTTACTTCTTTACAAGCAACATATGAGAATTCCAGTTGCCCCACATCATCACTGGTATCTTTTGCACATAATGGTTTTAATTTGCATTGCTCTTTGATCAGTGAGATTGAGCAATTTTTCATATGTTGGTTGACCTTTAGAATATTCTCTTTGGAGGAGTGATTGTTCAAGTTTTTTGCCCTTAATTTTATTGGATTTTTCTTATTTTTTTTTTTTTAAAGATTTCATTCATTTGACAGAGAGAGACACAGCGAGAGAGGGAACACAAGCAGGAGGAGTGGGAGAGGGAGAAGCAGGCTTCCTGCTGAGCAGGGAGCCCGATGTGGGGCTCAATCCCAGGACCCTGGGATCATGACCTGAGTCGAAGGCAGACGCTTAATGACTGAGCCACCCAGGCACCCCAAGAGTTCTTTAAACCATTCTAGAAATGAGTCAATTTGTTAGCTACAGGGAGAGTAAATACTTTCTTTCAGTCTGTGACTTTCCTTTCCATTCTTAATGGTGTGCTAAGCAACAGAAGGTATTAATTTTAATATAGCCCAATTTATCCATCCTTTCCATTTTAGTGTTTGTCTGTCCTATTTGAGAAATCTTTGCCTAGCCCCAAATAATTTCTTCTAGAAACTGCATTATTTTACCTTTCATGTCTAGAACTACAATTTGGTTGGAATTGTTTCTGTGTATGGAACGAGGTGGATGTGCAAATTTGGTGTTTTCAGGATCTGTATCCAAGTGACCCAGCACCATTTATTGAAAGGCCATTCTTTTTCTACTATTCTGCAGATCTGCCTTTGTCATAAATCAAGTGTCCATGTATATGCAAGGCTACTTCTGGATTCTTTATTCAGCTCAAATACTACACTTTTTTTTCCCCCAAATACTACACTGTCTTAATTACTGTAACTTTATTTTTTTAAATATTTTATTTATTTATTTGAGAGAGAGAATGAGAGAGAGCATGAGAGGGGGGAGGGTCAGAGGAAGAAGCAGACTCCCTGCTGAGCAGGGACCCCGATGTGGGACTTGATCCCGGGACTCCAGGATCATGACCTGAGCGGAAGGCAGTTGCTTAACCAACTGAGGCACCCAGGCACCCCTAATTACTGTAACTTTATAACAAGCCTTGAATCTAGTAGCATAAATCTTTTAGCTTTATACCTTATCTTGATGATTCTTGGCCCCATTGCATTTCCATATAAATTTTAGGATCAACTCATTAATGTCCTAAAGATAAAAATCCTTACTGTCATTTTGGCTTGGATTGCATTGATTCTAGCAATCAATTTAGGGATAATTTACATCTCTACAATATTGAGCTCTCCCATCCATGTGCATTTCTTTTATTTAAATCTTAATTTTTCTCAAAAATGTTTTACAGATCTCTATGTAAAGATCATGTGTATCTTCTTTATGTCTGTCTGGGCATTTGATTTTTATGCTGTTATAAATGGTAATATTTTAATTTCCTTTTCTAATTGTATCCTAATATAGAAATAAAACAAATTGACTTTTTTTTAAAAATTTTTATTTATTTGACAAAGAGAGAGACAGCGAGAGGGAACACAAGCAGGGGGAGAGGGAGTGGGAGAAACAGGCTCCCCGCAGAGCAGGGAACCCGATGCGGGGCTCGATCCCAGGACCCTGGGATCATGACCTGAGCCGAAGGCAGACGCTTAACGACTGAGCCACCCAGGCGCCCCAAACAAATTGACTTTTGTATATTGACCTTGATTCTAGTGACCTTACTAAATTCAGTGATTACGCCTCATAGGTTGTTTATAGATTCTCCTCAAATTTTTCCACGTATAATCTTGTCATCTGTAGATAATGACAGCTTTATTTCTTCCTTTCTGATCCATACATTTTTATTTATTTTTCTTGACTCTTGTATTGGTTGGAGTCCTTTGGGACAGTATTGAGAAGAAGAGTGACAGCAGTCTCCTGGTTTATCTATCTCAGGAGAAAGCTTTTAATGTTTCACTATTCGGTATTGTGTTTGCTATAGGCTTTTTAGCATAGATAGCTTTTATCAGATTAAGGAAATTTGCTTCTCTTCCTAGTTGGCTAGGGTTTGTTTTTTTTTTTATCCTAAAAAGACATAAGATTTTATGAAATGCTTTCTGTATCTACTCAACAGATACTTCACCAAAAAAAGATATGCAGATGGAAAATAGCATATGAAGAGATGCTCAGCATCATTAGTCATTAGGAAATTACAAATGGAAACCACAATGAGATACTACTACACAGCCCAGGGGATGGCTGAAATGAAGAAGCCTGCCATTGTTGATGAGGATGAGAAGGAATAGTAACTCTCATACACTAATAATGGAGACGTACAAAGGCACAACTTTGGGAAAGAGTTTAGTAGTTTCTTTTTTTTTTTAAAGATTTTATTTATTTATTTGACAGAGAGAGACACAGCGAGAGAGGGGACACAAGCAGGGGGAGTGGGAGAGGGAGAAGCAGGCTTCCCGCGGAGCAGGGAGCCCGACGTGGGGCTCGATGCCAGGACCGTGGGATCATGACCTGAGCCGAAGGCAGACGCTTAACGACTGAGCCACCCAGGCGCCCTGAGTTTAGTAGTTTCTTTAAAAGTTAAACATTTGAGGGCACCTGGGTGGCTCAGTCGGTTAAGCGTCTGCCTTTGGCTCAGGTCCCAAGTCCTGCGTCGGGCTTCCTACTCACTGGGGAGCCTGCTTCGCCTTCTGCTGCTCTCCTTGCTTGTGCACGCTCTCTCTCTCAAATAAATAAAATCTTAAAAAAACCCAAAAAAGTTAAACATTTGATCCAGCCATCCCATTCCTGAGTTTTACCCCAAGAGAAATGAAAATGTATGTCCACTCAGAAGACTTGTATTGGAATGTAAATAACAGCTTTTATTTGTAATATCCCCAAACTGGCAACAACTCAAATTTCCATCAGCAGTGGATTAATGATTGTCACATTTCTATACAATGAAATACTACTCAGCAATAAAATCAATGAAGCATTGGTACTTCAACAACATGGATGAATCTCAAAATAATTATGCTGAATGAAAGAAACCAGACAAAAAAGAATACATGCTACATGATTCCATTCTGCATCTACTGAGATGATCATATGGTTTCTCTTTTTCAGTTGATCAATATAGTGAATGACATTGACTTTCTTTTTTTTTTTTTTAAGTTTTTTTTTTTTTTTTTTTATTCATGAGAGACAGAGCGAGAGAGAAAGGCAGAGGGAGAAACAGGCTCCCAAGGAGCAGGGAGCCTGATGCGGGACTCGATCCCAGGACCCTGAGATCATGACCCGAGCCAAAGGCAGACGCTTAACCATCTGAGCCACCCAGGCGCCCTGACATTGACTTTCAAACGTTAACCTATCTTTGCATTACTGAGATAAACTCCACTTGGTCATGATGTATTTTTTTTTTATATATTGTTAGATTTAATTTACTAAAATTTTTCTAAGAATTTCTGCATGTGTGTTTATGAGGGTTATTGATCTGTAGTGGTTCCTCCCACGCCCACCGTGACTCTATCTCATTTTGGTATTAGGGTGATGCTGGCCTCCTGGAATGGATTGGGAAATGTCTTATCCTGTTCAGTCTTCTGGGATAGATTATAAAAAATTGATAGGTAGAGTGTTCTATAAATGTCAGGTCAAGTTAGGTAACAGTATTGTTCAAGTCATATATCTTTCTACACCCAACTCGGGGCTCAAACTCACAGCCCCAAGGTCAAGAGTTGCATGCTCTGCTGACTGAGCTAGCCAGGCGCCCTCAAGTCTTTTGTATCTTTACTGATCTTCTATCTACTTATTTAAATTATTGAGGGAGGAACTTTTAAATCTGACTATAATTGTGGAATACTCTATTTCTTCTTGTAGTACTGTCAGTTTTTACTTCATGTATTTTGTATTTCTTGTTATTGGGTGTATCAGCATTTAGGCTTGTTATATTCTCTTGAAGAATTGACCCCTACCTGATTATGAAATGACCCTCTTTATTGCAGGTAATATTTTTTACTCTGAAATCTGCTTTGCCTGATATTAATATCTAGCTTTCTTCTGATTAGTGTTAACATAGTGTATCTTTTCCCATTCTTTTATTTTTAACCTATTTCTGGGATTATATTTAAAGTATATACATATATATATTTTAAGATTTTATTTATTTTATTTTTTTAAGATTTTATTTATTAATTTGACAGAGACAGAGATAGTGAGAGCAGGAACACAAGCAGCGGGGAGTGGGAGAGGGAGAAACAGGCTTCCAGCTGATCAGGGAGCCTGATGTGGGACTTGATCCCAGGACCCTGGGATCATGACCTGAGCCAAAGGCTTAATGACTAAGCCACCCAGGCGCCCAAGATTTTATTTCTTTTAGAGAGAGAGGGCGTGCGAGTGGGGAGAGGAGCAGAGGGGGAGGGACAAGCAGACTCTGCACTGAGTGCAGAGCCTGCTGCTGGGCTTGACCCCAGGACCCTGAGATCATGACCTGAGCCAAAATCAAGAGTCAGACCCTTAACCAGCTGAGCCACCCAGGCGCCCCTAAAGTATATTTCTTGTAGGCAGCATATAGTTAGGTCTTTCTTTCTTATCCCTTTTGACCATCTGTCTTTTGATTGGGATTTTTTTTTTTTAATTTAATGTGAATATTGGTGTGTAGGTTTAAGTTTACCATCTTGCGGTTTGTTTGCTATTTGTCCCATCTGTTCCATTTTTACTTTTTCTGTCATCTTTTGCATTGAGTATTTTTTTTTTTTTGGTTTCTATTTTCTATTGTTTGTTTTTATTTCTATTTTATCCCCTTTGTTGGCACCTGGCTTGCTTAGTCGGTGGAGCCTGCAACTCTTAATCTCGGGGTTGTGAGTTTGAGCCCCATGTTGGGTGTAGAGATTACTCTAAAAAAATAAAATCTTTAAAAAAAAAAAAAGAGTAACTTTTTCCGGTGTTTTCTTAGTGGCTGCTTTAGAGCGAAGAGTTGGCAAACTTCGGCCTTTGGCCGAATCTCACCTGCTGCCTGTTTTTATAAATTAAATTTTGGTTTTGATTGATTGTTTATCTTCTCATTATGAATTGCATTTTTTCATCTTTGCGTGCCTATCAATTCTTACTTGAACACCATATATTTTTCCTTTTATTTGTTGGGTGCTGGATCCTTTTGTAGTCCTGCAAATTCTTGTGCTTTTTTTTCTGCAGTTAAGTTACTTGGAAACAGGTGCATTTTTTCAAGTCTGGCTGTTAAGTGTTATTAGCTGGAACCCGGCAGCAGCATTTAGTCTAGGGGTAATTTTGCTCTATTTGTGAGGTAAAACTCTCTGCATACTCTATGTTCTAGGAATTATAAAGCTTTCCATTCTGATTCGTGGGAATAGGGGCTATTCCTGTACCTGTGTTCAGGTGTTATTGTTCACTTAATTCTTTCAGTTGATTTTTTCCCCAACCTTGGGTAGTGTTGTCATGTGCATATCCGGATCAATACTTAGGAAACTACCTGAGGGGAACCCCGGGCAGGTCTCCAGAACTCTTTCTCTGTGTTGCTCTCTTCTCTGGTTCTCGGCTTTGTGAACTCAAGAACACTGGTCTTTCTGGGCTTCCCGATTCATTTCCTCAACTCAAGAGGACTGCCTGGATTCCTCCTTCCTGGGCTGTGGCCTGGAAACTTCTCCAGGCCGTAAGCTGGGGGCCATCTTACTGCTGACCCATTTGCTTCCCATTTCTCACGGATCCCCATCCTTTGTTGCTTGATGTCCAGTGCCCGGAAAACCATTGTTTCATATATTTTGTCCATGTTTAACTTCTATTTCCACAGCTAGGAGGGCAAATCCAGTCCCATTTTGGTTGGAAATGAAAGTTCAATTATCCAGAGTGGTTTTTTAAAAATCTTATTTTTCTGGTTGTCTTCCTCAAGAGCGTTGCTTTTCTGCAGGTGGCTTCCCTCCACTTGTGCTCTCTGGCTCTAACTCTCTGTCAAATAAATAAATAAAATCTTAAAAAAAAAAAAACTTTAAGGGGTGCCTGGCTGGCTCAGTTGGTGGAGCATGAGACTCTTGATCTTGGGGTTGTGAGTTCAAGCCCCAGGTTGTGTGTGGCGATTAGTTAAAAATAAAGTCTTGAAAAAATAACAAAATAAAACTTTAAAGTGCTCTTTGTTTGCTACATTTGTCAGTTCTCTGGGCTAATTTTTATTTTGTTTTTGTTGTGTAGGTTTTACTGCTGCATATCCAACACAATCCTCCATCCCTTTTAAAAGCCAGACTGCAACAATTCCGGAATCAGAGAAAAAGGGATTCAATAGTCAAGCGAAGAGATTTTATTATAAAAAGGTAATGACATCATCTTAGAGACTCTTAGTCTGGGTTTGAGCCTCCGGGGACAGGCGCACCAGTTGGGCTGGTGCAGTTGCCCCTATGGCCAGTAGAGGGCAGTGTCACCCAAGGAGCCACAGCCTCCTCTCGAATCCTGTGCTTTGAGTTGTAAGAATGAGTTGGGGAGGTATTAGATTCAGGGAGAACAACAGTGTCTGGACTTCCGGTGCCACATTGAACCCCCAAAAAAGTTTTAAGAAGAAATGTATTTTGAAATTTCTTATAAAAATATAAAATTCAAAAATTGCAGGTGTATGAAGTAAAAGGTAAAAATTCTTTTCTCTCCCCTCTCCCTCAGCTTCACTCCTTCTGACAGGAGAGGAAATAACGAGGTTTTCTTCAAATAACATACTAGTAAAAATAAAAGAGTCAAATAAATTTAAAATTACCTTTGTGATGAAGGCCCCCCTCTTTTTAAAAACTTCCTTTAACAGTGTATTATTACTGTTCCTGTTTTTCCTCCATCCTCACCCTCTTCCCCACATATTTCTATGTCCCTTTTCCTCTTTGATCTGGAAAATTCTGCTTGGCTTCTGGTGCTCAGGCAGCTTGGGATTTCATCAGCTAAAGGCCCAAGGGTCTAACCTTCTCCTCTTTCACCAGCAGGGGGCTGAAGCACCTCACAGACGTCCATAGAATCTTTAAAATTCTTCATTCCTTCATTCATTTAACCAAGATCTTTAGAATAACATTTTTTTGAAGGAGTCATCATCTTCAGCTACCTTTTGCTGCATTCTGAAAATGTTTTTGATCTCATAACCTTGCCAAGATGGCGGAGTGGGAAGGAGGAGATGTAGATTTTGAAGGCAAGTGAGTCAGGAAGGACTTGCTCAGCAAGCCCCTTTGCCCCTAGGCCTGTTCCTGCTTTGTAAACAAGAATGCTGAACGAGAGAATGTTTAAGTTCCTTTTACTTCTAACATTTTAGGATTCTAAGAAAGCAAATAATAAAGAATATAGTATGTGTATATGCCCATGTGCACACACACGCACACACACACTTTTAATTACTTGACAGTTTTTCCCAAAAATGATAAATAAGGTATTTGCTCAGGAGTTTTCTCTCTTCTCCCTCTAGTTTCTGTGTGTTTTAACTGTCCCTCTGTCTGTCTGTCCCTTCTGTTTGGTGTCTCATTTGTCAAGCCAGTGATAATATATTTTCCATCTCTGGAACACTGGCAATTCCAATAAAAATAATAGCAGCCACCATTTACTGATGCCTTCTATGTGCGCAGTCATTTTTAGACCATATCTCTAATCCTCAGAACAATGCTGAAAGGAAGGGTTTATTATCTTAACTTAATAGGAGAGGAAGTTGAGGCTTAGGAAAGTTAAATGACCCACCCAAGGTCATGCAGCACAGGGCTTGGTACATAAGAGGCCCTACATAAATATTTGCTGAATCAACATGCAAAGAATTAGACCTCAAACCCGGGTCTAGCTCACTCCAAAGCCTCATGTTCTTTCCACACACTACCACACCCCCTTTTGTAGCCTGTGAAGCCACACATTTCATTTATGAAAGTCAGCACTATGTTTCTGAATAGACCTTAGCAAAACAGCCCAAGCTCAAGAGAGGGAAAGATGTCAAGCAATGAGCGTAGGCACCATCCTACATGATCTAGTTCTGAAGACTCAAATCCAGAAGCAGAATGGGCCCGTGTTTCGAGGTAGCTTTCCAGCTACTACTGCTCTTCAGAAAAGTTTCTGCTGAAGGAACCAAGGTGGCAGCCCGCCAAAGCTACAGGAGGCATCAAATATAGAAAAAATCGTTCAGGGGTGCCTGGGTGGCTCAGTCATTAAGCGTCTGCCTTCGGCTCAGGTCATGATCCCAGGGTCCTGGGATCGAGCCCCGCATCAGGCTCTCTGTTCAAAAGGGAGCCTGCTTCTCCCTCTCCCACTCCCCCTGCTTGTGTTCCCTCTCTTGCTGTGTCTCTCTCTGTCAAATAAATAAAAAAAATTAAAAAATAAAAATCATAAAAAAACTATGAGATCGCAGGGCGCCTGGGTGGCTCAGTTGTTAAGCATCTGCCTTCGGCTCAGGTCATGATCCCAGGGTCCTGGGATCGAGCCCCGCATCAGGCTCTCTGTTCAAAAGGGAGCCTGCTTCTCCCTCTCCCACTCTGCCAGCTTGTGTTCCCTCTCTCACTGTCTCTCTCTGTCAAATAAATAAATAAAATCTTTAAAAAAAAAAATCGTTCAGAAATTCGATTCGCACTTTCCAAATGGAGCCACGTTGGTTTGACAACGTGGAAACTTTAAGTACTTGAAAGCCTTCTGTAAATAAGTATGTAAATAATTTTGTGGCAAGAGCATGGGATCCGTAAATCAGGTTCCCTGCGTTCTGCCCCCTTAAAGAGCTCTATGCCTTTAGACGGGTCACTTAGCTTTTCTTTTTTTTTTTTTTTAAGATTTTATTTATTTATTTGACAGAGAGAGACAGAGCGAGAGAGGGAACACAAGCAGGGGGAGTGGGAGAGGGAGAAGCAGGCTTTCCGCCGAGCAGGGAGCCCGATGTGGGGCTCCATCCCAGGACCTTGGGATCATGACCTGAGCCGAAGGCTGACACTTAACGACTGAGCCACGCAGGCGCCCCATCACTTGGCTTTTCTGAGCTTCAGTTTCCTCATCTGAAACATAAGGAAGATTTGGGCTATATAATTTTTTTAGGTTCTTGAAGCTATAAAAGGAGAAAAAAAATGTTCTCGTCCCATGCTCATTATTCTCATTTTTCTTGAGGGAAGCGGACATTGAGAAGTTAAAGATGTTGTTTAACATCACCCAATAATTTAGTGAGGGAGGCAATACAAATTAAAAACAGATTTTAAAACTCTGGTGTTTCACCACCCTTCTTAGAATATTAATCGTCCATACCCTGTGCCTGAGCTCATAATTTGGTTGTATCCTCATATTAGTTCTGTGACCCATTTAACATCTTTAACACAGAGAATTGGTGTCTTGGAAAATGTGCATTTACCTTATTGGTCTAACCTGTTGGGAAACACTGGCCGGCTCACGTGCCCCATACAACCCTGAGTCCTGGGTACAAAGAATCCTTCACAGAGCTCGGCATCTTGACTGGCAATTTGCGCTGCTAGAAATGAAGTCTGCTTCCCTGCACAATTTATGATTATTTATAGATGTGCTGGTGACTCCGTGTGCATGAAGAGACATGCCTCATCTGGGACAGAACAGAGCCCGGGAGCCCGATGGACATTTTCTTCCTCCACTGCCCTGTTTCAATTCCTCTCTGGATGGTGGTCACTGCTTTCCAAGCCATGTGACACTAATAACGTCTTCGCATCATGTTAAGAGCAAGGATGTTATAACAGTTAGGCCCTTGCCGGGGATTACCGTTCCACGATTCTAAACCTGACTTATCCCTTCCAGGCTCGAATGAATGAATGCTGGTGGCATAGGGCACTGCATTCTCTAGGTAGGCACAGCTTAAAAATACATGTTAATTTTATATGTAGCTTGAGAGTAAATCCACCAACAAATGGTAAGCAGGCCCATGTTTAATTTGTGATGAAATAAAATTAATACTGTTTCACTCACTAACTTGGCAAGGCACTGAACCAGGGATATTTTACACGTCAAGGAGATTTAAGTGAAAGGAAGTTCAGTTTGCAGGGGCCACCATGTTCAAGGGGATAATTAGCCCAAGTGTACACTCAGCTGCGTGTTTGAACCACAATGGGCTGTGCCTGACCTCTCTGCTCCGGAAGCCTGACTTCGCCCTGTGGGTCACCAGCACGCCTTCCGAAGGAGTCTGCAGTCCCTGTTCCTGGAAATAAACACTTGGCTGGTACTGACAGCATGCCAGGCACCCCTCGAAGACTTTTGCATTTATTAACTCATATAATCCCCATAATAACCCTGTGAGCTGAGTCTCCTCATTATCTCTGCTTTTCACATAATGAGCCAGAGACACAAAGAGGGTTGAGGGACTTGCACAACCAGGGTCAGGCAGAGCCTGCCGGACGCAGGCGGCAGCTCCTGGTTCCAGACACTGTTCCCCGCGTCTCCTGGGGACGGAAGCAGGGACACCCTCCTCTGTGCTCTGACAGCCACTCTCGTGCCCCCGGCCACCTTCTGCTTGGCCTGATGGTAGTGGGTGTGCACGGTCGGGACCCTCCATCCCATTCCTGGAACATGTGAGCTGCTAACAGGTCGTGCTTCATCCTTGCACCTTAGCCTGGGCTCTGGTCCGCCGTGGCCTTCCGTGTATGTTTGTTGAGTTGAGTTCTTGCCGATATGCCACTCAGGGGACTTCAAGGGGCTGCTAATAAGCTGACATCAGATTTGAGCAAGAGGAGGGCTCTGAAAAAGAGAAGCAGATGTGCTCTCGGGGACAATACCCACCGTAACCAATGCTTCAAAAATGCGGGTTTGACTTCTCTTGTCTGTGTTTCCAGCCCAGCCCTCTGGGCCAGCTGTGGGCAAACAGCTGGTGCCCGTTTTCATCTGTCAGGTGGCCAGTGTCCCGCTGCCCTGGCTCCCCCAAACTTATCTGAGCAACGAAGAAACAATCTCTTCAAGAGACCTCATCCCGTTTTCCTGCTTGCTCCCTTCGGGCTCCCAGGGACCTTTCATTGCTGACATCCTCCCCCATCCTGAACAAAACAGTGGTGTTTTCTCATGTGGAGTATGCTCGCTGCCTCTCTCCCTTTTCAGCCGTGACCAGAGGTGCGGAAACTTTGATGCCAGACAGAAATAGATGTGGGGTGAGGCAGGGAGGGAGAGAAGGCAAGAAGGGGGAAGGGCGTCTTATAAGGGGCACATCTCAGAGTCAGAGACAGTTTGAACCAGAAGGGCCTCAGCGACCTGGAATCCCCGGGCTCCACAGAAGGGCCCTTTCTGTGACAGTGTCTCATGCTGAAGGCCACTGGTGGGCCAGGTAAAGACTGCTCGAAGCTGCTGCCAACTCCAGCCCCCTTTCCCGGGCTCCCTGGTGGACAACAGGAATGTGGTCTGAACACCACAGATCTTGACACCCCCACGCGCCTCCCTGCAGGTTCACAGATGAGGGGCCTGAGGTCTGGGGAGGGGACGTGCCCTGGGGGCAGATGCCAGGTCTCCCACCGTGTAGTCCTCATCACTTTGGCCACGTCAACCTGAGTAAAAGCTTTCTGACTTCAATGAAGTCAACAGGGTCGATGGACACATTGTCCTGAGACCTTAAGACTAGAGGCATTTGTAAGAAGAAACTGTTCCCTCAAGAGCCCTAAGTCCCTATGTGGTTTTACCAGTGGATTAACCACAGCACAAGCCTCTGCTTCCATCTCAGACATGTCCGCCTTCTGTTAGATACTTCTAAGCCCTTCAGCAGACCCCCAGTTGTCATTCGTCTTGTGCACTCCTGAGAAATGCCAGCTCACCAGCCCCCAAAAGAAACCAAAGCAAGGTGGAATATCTTTGAAGAGTCAAAAGGCAGCTCTAGTGGGGTCTTTAGCCAATGATCCAAAGAGACTACATTTCCCAAGCCAAGAAACAGTTTGACAAACCATTGATTTGAGAGTATTAATTGGACAGAATTTCTTACCAGAGACACAAAGCCAGAGACACAAAGAGGGTTCTGATTTATAGAAAAGTCAAGCTATGTACCTGGCTCCAAGCTGGTGGACTCCAAGCTTCCTATAACCTATGGACATATCTGGCGGGAGGAGATACATGCCCTGCTCCCTGTTGCCTCCTCCTCATTACCTGTCTAACCTATACCAGGATCAAGTGAACGTAGACCTTTGTCCCACCCTTGGCACCTGCAGGGGCTGCCATTTGGGATTCTAATCCTTCAAAAGGGCTCTCAAAGTGCATTTCAACCAAATGTCACCCAGATGCACATTGGGTTGAGGGGTGGGAGCACATCAGCCAGTCCTCCCTTGGTCAGTCCCAGTCTCAAGGTCTTTAACCCCCATGGGAAGGTTTGGCTCCGTTGCGGGCAATGCCAAGAGTAGCAGCCACGCACTGGCACTGTGTTTCGATTTATTTAATCCTCACACGGTGGGGAAGGCCCGGGAGACAACAGAATGGCATCCACATCATCCTCTGGGCACTGGGCAGGCAGGCTGTAGAGCTCAGTTAAATCGTTCTTTTCTCTTCTCCCTCCCCACACCCATTTTTGCTTTGTTGGTTTATTTGGTTTTTGCCCTCTAGGGTGGTCTTGGCCAAGAAACCAAGGGTGGCTAAGTTCACCCCAGTTGCAATTACCTGGGTTCTTCTTCCTGGGATCTGCACTGAGAGGCCTAAACTCACCAAGTCACAAAAGGTTAGTCATCAGAACGGTTATCCCAGAGGTGAAAGGTCTGGATTTTTATTGCCCTCCCAGCCAGCCATTCACCAGCCCGTCCAGCAGTCGCAGGAGAAGGCCTGAAGGCTCTGCAGTTGGAGGTTTCCCTCCGAGGAGCTTAGAAACCTACCTGCGTGTTGTGTGAAGGTAGTGGTGTGCTGGTAAACCAGCTCTCCCCTCCGCAAAGGAAAGTTCTGATTGATAGCGTTTGCCAATTTCTGGGGTGTAAATACTCCCACCTTGCTTTCAAGCTACCACTAGCAAAATCTCTGACATTCTAACAGTCACCCTCTCAAGCTGCCATCCATGGGCCAGCTCTGACATACTGCTGCCTGGACGTCTCTTCTCAACAGGCAGCCCTCTCTCCCTCCAGGCTAAGAGGTGCCAGCCCTCTTCATATTCGGCCTGGACTCAAACCAGCTTGCAACACAGCAGAATTAAAACGTGATGGAGGTCCAGTGGGGTTGCTGGATTTAGCAAATAAGAACACAGGACTTCTAGTTAATTTAGAATTTCAGATAAATGACAAACAACTCTTTTAGTATAAGTATGTCCCAAATATTGCATGGGACATACTTACACTAAAATAGCTTTCCAAGGTTTATCTGAAATTCAAATTTACCTGGGCACGGTGGGAGGGAGCAGCCTTGCACGCCTTGTATTTTATCGGGCAACTCTAGCTCCTCAGACACATGCAAGTGTCTGGAAAATGTGTGTGAGCTGATGGCCGTGTTGAGTGTGTGCAGGGGGAGGACTAGAAGCCAGAGGTGCGTGTCTTCCTTGTTCACTGTTTAAACCTGGGAGAGTCATGGTGACGTGTCCTGCTTCAACTCTTCCTTGATTTAGGGGCTCTTGCGAAGCTAAGAGGCACCCAAAGGCATTGAGTCCGATATCTCTCATTTACAAATGAGGAAACTGAGGCCCAGCGATGTGAGTTAGCTAGTCGCAGCATTGAGACGAAAATTTCCTGATTCAAAACTCTGTGGGATTTTTTTTTTCTTTTATCCTACATATTCTCATTTGAAAATCAGTTTGGTTTAATGGGTAAGAGTAGACTCTGTATGTTTGGTGGGGGTGGGAAAAATGGGTGAAGGGAATCAGAAGGCAGAAACTTCTAGTTACCAAACAAGTCAGGGGGATGTGACATACAGCATGGCGACCACAGTTAGTGACACTGGATTGCATTTTGGGAGTTGCTAAGAGAGTAGATCTTAAAAGTTCTCATCAGAAGGCAAAAATGCTAACAACTGTGTATGGTGACAGGTGTTAACTGGATTTACTGTGGTGATCACTTTCCAGTGTGTACAAATATCGAATCATGCAGTACACACAAAACTAATATAATGTTATGTGTCAATTATATCTCAATTTAAAAAAAAAAAGAGTAGGCTTTGTACTAAGACCACCTGGGTTCAAATTCTGGCCCTGACAGTTCCTAGCCATGGGACCTTGGGCTTTATCTCTTTTGGCCCTGTCTGCCCATCTTTAAAATGGGGATTAAAGGGCGCCTGGGTGGCTCAGTCGGTAAAGTGTCTGCCTTCGGCTCAGGTCATGGTCTCAGGGTCCTGGGATTGAGCCCCACATTGGGCTCCTTGCTCAGTGGAGAGTCTCCTCCCTCTGCTCCTCCCCCAGCTTGTGCTCTCTCTCTCTCTCAAATAAATAAATAAAATCTTTAAAAATAAATAAATAAAATAAAATTATTATTTGTTTTAATAATAAGGGATTAAGGGACACCTGGGTGGCTCAGTGGGTTAGGCGTCTGCCTTTGGCTCAGGTCATGATCACTGGGTCCTGGGATGGAGCCCCACATCCAGCTCCGCACTCAGCAGGAGGTCTGCTTCTCCCTCTCCCACTCGCTCCCCCTGCTTGTGCTCTCTTTCTGTCAAATAAAGTCCTTTAAAATTAATTAATTAATTAATTAAAATGGGGATTAAATGAGTTGCTGCATGTAAAATACTCAGAACAGTGCCTGGCACACAGTGAGCCGCCACTCAATAAATAAATGCTAGCCCCACGAACAGCCCCCTAGAAAAATCTCTTCTGGGTTTCTCTGTAGCTCCTTGAATCTGCTCCCACGTGCCGATGTCTTCTGAACTTGGCCTAGGGCGCTGGTGCACCTGGTTCTGCCGCCCATCTCATGGTCTGCCCCATTCTCCCTGGTGATCAGCCCCCACTCTGTGCACCTGAGATCATCATCACCTACAAAGTGGGAATTAGTGCCCTGCACCCACACGCTTTGAGCAATGCTCAAAGGATCCACTGCATTTAAAATTCAGCACAGAGGAACCTGTTAATCTCACTGATGGCTCTATCCCCTATATTAAACCATAATCAGACACTGCTCAGGCCAGACTGGAAAGTCCTGGAAGGCCCTGGTGGCACCTTAGGCTTTCTTTCTGCCCTGAGGAAGGTAGTAGGGATGGTGGAGGCAGGATGAGCCTCGGGGGCAGAGGTTGGAGAGACTTGATAACACCCCCACTGTAGAGAGTTTGTGTTCATCATGTCCTTAGCACTGAATTCAGGTACTTGTGGCAGTGGGATATTGGGAAAATTCATCTCCACTGGTCTCAGTGTCTCCATCTGTAAAATGGGGACAGTTACCCCTTCCTCGTCGGAGGACTAAGTGAAGAAACCTTTGAAAAGCTCATGGCATCAAGTTGGCACCCAGTAAGCTCTCAAGAGTGGAGCATCCCTGTCATTTCATGCCACTTGCTTGGCCAACTTCTGTCAACATATACCTCCCCTTGGTAACCAGCATGGGAAATGAGATGAAAGCTCAATTAACTGCAAAAGCAGAAATGAGCTTCGAAATCAAGCTGCTGTTTATTCCTATCATACCTGCATCATTTAGCATCTGAGCCTCACGAGCCTGCCTCTTTTTGTTTGAGAAGAATTAGACATGGTCTTGTTTGGCATGAAGGTTGTTTTTGTTTCATTTTGCTTTATAAACAGAAACACTCCCTGATTTCTCTTCTGAAAGGTTGATGAGGAAGCTGAGTCAGGTGGGTGTGGTTAACGTGAAATCGGTCATCGTTCCCTTACCTTGGGCTTGGCTTCCCCAATCAGCACACACTGACTTGCGTATCAGCCACACTGAGCATCCCATCTTGTGCTCATTTCTCTAATGGCATGAAAAAAACAACAGCATTCTTCTGGAATGCAGGACGACGTGGTGGAGTGAGCCAGGGCTTTGGGGGTCCCAGACCCAGGCTGGAATTCCAACCCCCAGCACTTGGTAACCGAGACAGTGAGTGGGCAGGCTAGGCAATGGTGGAGCCAGACTATCTATCACCCATGAAGTGGTGGTGATGCCTAGCCTTGAGGATTACAGTGAGGCTGAGCGTTAATGGATATAAAGTTTGTGGAAAAGCACGGTGGAAATGAATGTACCCCGATGACACCCCATTCTCTTCCTTTCAGGATACCATCCCAGGTCCGGGGTTCTACAACGTCATTCACCAATCTCCAGTGTTCAACAGTGCCTCGTTGTCTAAGAAAGGAACGTGCACTTTTCCCTCTACGGTGAGAAGCCCTTCCTTGAGTAAGGCCACTAGCAGATCAGTCATTTCCTCCGTCCGTTGCATAAACATGTATTGGACAGCTGGTCCCTTCTCTCCAAAGGCCGTGGTTCTAATTAGGAGAGTAACTGCTGCCTCAGGTGTCATGCAGGTAAATTAGAGCCTGTGTCTTTAAGTAATTATCCCCCCACTGCTACACATTGGAGAAGAGAGGCTGGAGGGATATTTAGAACCTGATCATCCACATCAATTTTGTCATCATGGAGTGGGCTAGGCAGATGTTTTCCTGAGATTTTTAGGCACCAGGGAAAAGCTCTTAGCCTAATAGGATGTATTACACCACTTGGTCTAATTGGGTTATTCAAATTATTGAGAAATCTTCTAGGAGCAAAAATAAAGCAGACAACAGGCTGAAATGGAGTTATCTTCCTCCCCTCCCTACTTCCCTTCTTTGTAAGATGTGGGTCTTTATCTTTGTGGATGGCTCTAAGAATCAAGGAGTTATATGAAGTGCCAATGTCCCTGACTAGACCTGGGCAAGGATTTTTTCTTTTGTTCTTAATTTGAGTATCTATAAATTGGCAAGAAGAAGAGATATAGCAAGGGAAAAGGGTCAAACTGGGATTAAGATTAGCTGAGGTAGGAAAGTGAAAAAGAAAGCAAACCCAAACTAGCATCAACAAAACTCATATGCCCTCTGTCCCTTTAAAAATTATAATAATCTCTTGCAAAATTGTATTCTAATGCCTGACACTGGAACTGATTTCAAAACAAAACAAAACACCACACAAAGGATCCATTTAAGACACGCTGAATGCAGCCACTTACTGGAATTTGACTTTGGCAGAGCTGACTTTGGAGCTAGCTCCCCATCGGCGGAGACATGGAAGTCACCCATGCCCCCAGTGAGCTCACAGAACAACCATGCCTCTGCCTCGTTTTCTGCCCCGAGCCCTGCAAATAAAGGGACCTGAAAGCAATCGGCAATAGACGTGCCATCTCACGAAGTCTTGGCACAGGAGACAAGACTTAAGACCTAAGCCTGACTCAGCAGAGGATTCTCGATGTGGCCTCAAGCACGTCACCCTTCTGTGTCCCGGTTACCTCGTAAAAGTGGAGACTCCCTGGGCGCCTGGGTGGCTCAGTTGGTTGAGCGACTGCCTTCGGCTCAGGTCATGATCCTGGAGTCCCGGGATCGAGTCCCGCATCGGGCTCCCTGCTCGGCGAGGAGTCTGCTTCTCCCTCTGACCCTCCTCCCTCTCATACTCTATCTCATTCTCTCTCTCTCTCAAATAAATAAATAAAATCTTTAAAAAAAAAAAGTGGAGACTCCCTGGAGGCACTGGGCAAATCACAATGAGTGAAATGCTCTTTGAAACTGCAGAGTATTGTAAACATGTTAAATATTATGAGTGTTACCACCTGAGTCACAAACAAGCTCTCCCGCACCTCCTAGGTTTTCTCTCTGAGAAATTCTTGGCCGTAGAGGGGCACTGCCCATTCCTGCTTGGTCCCAAAGAAGGGACAGAAGGAGAGCGCACGATCAATTCCCTACTAGGCTTTGTGTGCAGTAACTTTCCAAACGACGAGGCTGGGCCATCTGGAGAAGAGGCTCAGGGGAAGGTCCGAGTATTACAGAATCTAATCAGGCCTGTCAGGTCCTTAAAAAATTCAGACCAAACCCAAAAGAAAACAGACATGGAGTTGTGCAGGCTTTCCCTCCCTGCTTTGATGGATGGGAATTTATATTGATAGACATTTAAGTTCCTATAACCAGCCTGCAGTGGCTGATGGAAATCTGTTAAGAGACCCCACATCTTACCTACTTCCTTTCTGCACCGATGTGAATTTCATGCCTTCCCCCCGCCTTAGTTACTTTCACATTTGGCACCTCTTCCCTTTCTGGATCTGCGGACTCTGAGGGTATGAAAAGTAGACCTCGTCAGAGAAAGATCTGCCCGACTGACACTGGTGTAGCCAGGAGGAGTGTGATTGTAGGTGAGGGTGAACAAAAAACTCTGTGGATCAATAAATTCTAGAAACTTCCTGATGACTGTTGGAACCCCTACACCCAACCTTTGGAGAGGACCTGTCACCTCGCTAAGTCCAAATAATTTAAAGAACTTCATTAATATATTCTAAATCTCTGCTCCAGGATTATTCATGAGGCTGACAGAAGGTTAAATTAGGCAGGTGGGAGGAGACTTTCATGGCCTTTCTCTGTATGCATGGTGACCGGAGTGGTTCTGGAAAAATTAGTAGGTGCTGCAGAGAGGTTCACAAATGCCAGCATGCAGCCAGATTGGAGCCCACAGGCCCGGCAATTAAAAGAAAGTCAAGGGGTGGGGAGGGTTGTCTGAGTCAGTGTTACTTCAGCTATATTGAGGCAAATTCTATCACAATGCTTTATGAAACTTGGCTTCCAATGAACAATTAGAACGATTTTTTTCCCCAAAAGTATGTTCATAGGTATTCTAGGCCAAAAAGATTTTATGATCTAGTTAAGTTTCAGGAAGGCTGGGTAAGTCAAGTTGGGTTTGTTTATGGTAGGACTTCTCAGGGTACTTAATATGATGGTGTATATTATGAGTCGTCAACATGGGAACACACTATGAGGCTTCTCAAGTTTATTTGGCTCTGGAACTCTCTCTCTGCTGTCACCACCAACACTAACTTATCTTATAGAACTGGTATGCCAGGGAACACTTCGGGAAATAGTGCTTTAGAAAAACGTGCTTGCCTCATCTGTTGGGTGAGTCAGGATAGACATGCCACAAATGGGACCACCGGGGGTGGTGACCCTTCTTCTATGGAAGTGAAAAGGAAAGATCCCATTGGGCAACGGAGAGAGAGGGTAGTGATTCTCCTTGAACTAGAACATCCCACAGTCATTCATCAGGGCTCCTCTTGTAAATGAAAACATGTATTACTTTCCTCCTTTTGACTTTTCCTCTTTAGAATGGGATATCTAATCTCTATCACATAGTGGGGGCTGACTGGTAATAATGTTGGTTCCACCCCTCAACTAGCAGACGAAGTCCAGTGTCTTCATCCGTAAAGTGGGGATAATCATAATATCCACTCCCCAGGTTTTTCAAGAGGATTAAACACAACAGCCCATGAAAAGCACTCAGTTAACTATTCCCCATAATGCAAAGGCAAAGAGCGTAGAGGGCTGGGGTGATCTTACTTCTGGGAACATCAATGAATCCTGATAATTAGGAGAAGGCTGACATGGGACTTGAACCCAGGTTAGACTCTGAACAGCTGAGACTCTGGACAAGAACATGTTTGCCGCTGGGAGCACATCCACCCATATACCATCAGTGGTCCATAGACTAGATGCTGAGAACCATTACCACCAAGCACAGGGTGAGGAGTTGGTGGGGGTGAGGGTTAATGCCTTCCCACAGTCTCACCTGCTTTCTGTGCTTGTATAGTTATTGACCCCTATCCAGCTGAGGAAACCCAGGGCAATGTTCTCAAGCTTTTAATCATAGAATAATGAGAATTTTTGTTTGTTTGTTTTATCAGACTCCAATACTTGCCATACTATCCTAGGGTAAAGCGATGTTATCACCTAGTTTCTATGGCTTTTGCCCCTTTTCATTTGGCAAACATTGATTCTGCTTGTTTGTTGGTTTTTTTTTTTTAACTGAAAATAGTTTATTACGGCTTCCAGGAAGGAGTAGGATTGGTCCTACTGAAAGAGAAAAAAAAAATTGTAGGGTTCTATGCAATCAGCAGTTAGGGGGCACCTGGGTGGCTAAGTTGGTTAAGTATCTGCCTTCGGCTCAGGTCATGATCTTGGGGTCCTGGGATTGAGCCCATGTCAGGCTCCCTGCTCAGCAGGGAACCTGCTTCTCCCTCTCCCTCTCCCCCTCCCCCTGCTCATGCTCTCTCTCTCAAATAAATAATCTAAAAAAAAAAAAAATCAGCAATTAGGTGGAAGGTAGGAAGCATGGGTGGACAGCAAGCCCCATCGACCCTTGTGCCTTTAAGACATTAGAAGCAAACTTATTATTTAAGCAATTCAGATTACTTAATCTTAGAAACAAGATGTGAAGTTTTACTCAGAAGGAAAGCCTTGGCTGGAGGAAGAAAGTCTAAAGCTTCCCATCATATAAATTACCCAACAGCTGATGAGTCAAGGGTAAGTGGCCTGAAACGGGATTGGGTGGCAATGCATTTATGGCAAAATTATTTTTGCCAAGTCCCAAATGTAAGATGAATAATTTGAGTTAGTTTATAGAAGTTAAAACAGGTCAGAACTTGTGTTCTCAAAGAGCAAATCCTCAAAGCCCAAGGTCAGTTTATCATTGTTACCTGCTGTAGTTTCAGCTTTCATACGATGCTTTCAGACCTAGCGCTGGGCACCATTCCTTTGACATCTGTCCTGTGGAGCCAAGAGATGACGTGAGGGCACTGATGCCTTTGACTTTCTCCTTGCAGCGCGCCCGACTGGACACCATCGTTTCTAAATACCCTGCGGCTAATGCATACACTATCCCATCACGTTTCGTCTCGAAGAAGGACTTCAGTAATTCCTGTTCGAGCATGTTCCAGTTGCCGAGCTTTGCAAAAGTCCTCAAATTTGAACCCCCTGCACCAAACCAGTACAATGTAAGAACGTTGCGTGTGCTTGTTAAATATATACTGAATGAATGCTTTCCGAAAATGAATGAAGGCGGGGGACGCTTTGGGGAAATAACATTCTTTTTTTTTTTTTTTTTAATTTTATTTATTTATTTGAGAGACAGAATGAGACAGAGAGAGAGAACATGAGAGGGGGGAGAATCAGAGGGAGAAGCAGACTCCCTGCCGAGCAGGGAGCCCGATGCGGGACTCGATCCCGGGACTCCAGGATCATGACCTGAGCCGAAGGCAGTCGCTTAACCAACTGAGCCACCCAGGCGCCCGGGAAATAACATTCTAAGGCAACTGATAAACCAGTTAGCGTTTGTTGACTGCCCAGCAGGTAGAGGAGGCTGCGTGCAAGGCTTTATGGAGAATTTGCACAACCTGGACAAAAATGAGAGCAGCGCAGAGGTCGGTGGGAAGCAGAGGGAAGACCCCGCCCTGGAAAATACTATAATCACTCCTACCACAGAACCTTTCTGGGACAGTATTCTCATCTGTAACAATTCTTATTTCCCACGTTATCTGCAGTCGCTTTCCATTTACTTCTTAGGTTTTAATAGGGAAAATACGCTTCCACATTTCCGTATCAGAAACTGGGTTTTTCACAGTAATGCTCCGCCAATTACAATCACTTTGTAGTCATGGAGGCAGAACGGTATGATTAATGGTTAAGAGATGAAGTCAGGTTCAAATGTCAACTCTGCCACTTTCTAACTGTGTGGCTCTGGGCATGTCCCTTCAGCTTTCAGGACTCAGGTTATTGATCTGCAAAATGGAGAAATGTGTCCACGTCATAGTGTTAACGCAAATGTTAAATTAGGTCGTCTGAGCTGTGTGCTTAGCCCAGCCCCTGGCGGACAAGGACTCCGCCATCCGTGGAGATCCGCAGAGCTGTCTTTGGGGAAGTCACGTTACCTCTTGAGCCTCAATTGTAAAATGGAATCAATTATACTCACCCTACAGGGTTATTATAAGAGCCAAATGAGACAACACATGTGCAAACACTCTAAAATACATAAGAAATGAATTGTATATAAGGTATTAATAGGATTATGACATATTGCAAGATATTTTGGTCTTAGAGTACTTCATTTTTAATTTCCTTTTTCTTTTATAATACTTATAAATAATATTTATTTTTCTGACTACAAAAACCCTGCCGATCTTCCGTGATTGATCCAATCAATTATAATGTGCTCAAAATGATGTATGTGCCTGCTGCACTGTCCAATAGAAATATAATGGGAGCAACATATATCATTTAAATTGGGCGCCTGGGTGGCTCCGTCAGTTAAGCATCTGCCTTCTGCTCGGGTCATGATCCCAGGGTCCTGGGTCTGAGTTCTGCATCAGGCTCCCTGCTCGGCAGGGAGTCTGCTTCTCCCTCTGCCCTTCCCCCAGCTCACGCTCATTCTCTCTCTCTCTTTTGCAAAAATAAATAAATAAAATCTTCAAATCTTCCCAGTAGCCACATTTGAAAGTACAAAGGAACAGGCGAAATCAATTTTAAGAATATACTTTATTTAACCCAGTATATTCAAGATCTAATTTCAATGTCTAATCAATATAAAAATTGTTAATTATACTTTTTATTTATAATAATTATACACATAATTATAAATAAAAATAACTAATGTTTTACATTCTTTCCATCTATCTTTACAGTCCAGTGTGTATTTTATACTTTCAGCACATCTTAATTTGGATCAGCCATGTCCCCAGGGCTCGAGAGCTACCAAATTAGACAGCACAACTCTAGGTAGTCTTCCCCCGGGATAATCAGAGCCTGAAAATAATAATGATGATGAAGATGAAGTACTATTCCAGGCCTATGTACTGTTCTAAGCATTATGTATTCATCTCATTTAATATTCACAAGAATCCATGAAGTGGGTTATCTCTTTTTTCAATTTACAGAAGAGAAAGCTGATGCTCAGGGAGGGGAAGGGATTTGCCCAAAGTTAGCCCGCTCAAAGGGACCGTTTGCATATCAGTGAGCGCAGGTAGATGGCTGGGGTATATAGCTGGAGAGTGATCAGTCAGCCTGTCCCAGCCCTGCTGGGTCTCCCTTCATGGAATCTGTGGCTACTCTGTGCTAGACCAGTGATACAGCTTAGATTTCAGCAGGGAATGCATGACAAACTAGTAAACAGGCAAACAAAATAATTACAAACTGGGGCCAGCTTTGAGGCAGACAAAGAGTTAGACCCTGAGAGACAGAATATGTGGAGAATATGGGGGGTTGGTAGCATCATGTACTTTAGACTGGGTGGTCAGAGAAGGCTCTAGGGCTGAGAACCTAAGAATTGAAGGAAGAGCCAGTTGAGGGAACAGCATGTGCAAAGGTCCTGGGACAGCAAGCAGCTGAGCCTTGGGGAACTACAAGAAGTTAGCTGGATTAGCATTAGCTAGGAGGAGAGGGAATAAGGGGAAGCCAGACAGATAGGCAGGGGCCAGTTCATTCAGGCCCCTAAAGACCCTGGGAGGGATCTTTAATTTGGTTCTCTGCGGGAAGCCTTTGAGGGGGATGACATCATCTGATGTACTTTTTTAAAAAAAACTCCCACCAGCAGCCATATGGAGAATGGACCACCGTTTGGGTGAAGAGTGGACTTTGAAAAACCAGTTAGGAGGCTGTTATACTAATCTGAGAGAGGTCAAGGCCTGGTCCAAGAAATCGATAATGTTCTTGGCCATTGCATCTTTGCCATTCCTGAGAGAGGGAGTTAGTGTTTCAGGCATCTGCCTCCGCAACCCACTGTGTGCTCCTTCACCCAGCTTCGCATCTCCAGTGCCCCGCGCAGGTCCTGGTATACAGTACACTTGCAGTAAATGCTCATGACGTTGAAGGAATTAGCCCCGTCATATATAGTTGTTAATCTAGAAAAGACCGTTTCCCAAGTCAGGGCTCAGACCTTCTGCCAACGGATCAATTTTAAGTGCATGGTTTTTGTTGATTATAGTTTTAATGTGACTGTGAAAATAATTCATGCTCTTCATTAAATATATTCAAGTATTTTAGAAATCCATGAACTAGAAAAGCAGAATTCTCTTACAATTCTGCCCTCTGAAGCAAACCACCATCAAAAACAGGTGCAATTTCTTTCATGGTCTTTTCCTCCCCCATCCCTACCTCCAGTATTAGGATTATGCTGGCCACGGTACATGTGCATTTTCTACTCAGCTATATCTTGGATTTTTTTTTTCCCCGTGGTGATACAGTAAACCTGCTTCATTTTTTTTTCCCCAACCTGCCAGTGAAGCTAGCTGACTGTTTTCCTCGTCTAATGGTGAAATCTTCCAGTGACACACACTCAGAGTATACAAAAATGCTCCCTCTTTCAGTTGTTTTTCTGTCTGGATGAGGAATAAGGCTGAAATCGTGTTTTGTCTACAGGAGGCTTTTTTCAGACCTGGAGAACAATGGTTGAGTCAACTGGCAAGAAGCAGAAATGTGATAATCCTGTTAGCCACACCACAGGCGAGGTCTGTTAGGGCTTTTCTTTGCCTTTGCTTACCTCGATTCCCCCACCTCTCTATTCGATTCCTTTTTCTCCGTACCATGTTATTACTTCCTCTCCGGCAACCTGGTTCCTGTCCCTCTGTCCAGTAATTAGCCTGCCCCATCTGATGTTTTTGTTTGCCCTCCCTGCATGCATTCTAGCCATTAGGACCCTGGGAAAAGCTAAATTCCTCCACCTTTGTAAACACAAAATCAAAATGCCATCTGCATTTCTTGAGAAACTTTTTTTTTTTTTTTTTTTTTTCCCACAAAGGAGTATCTCAGAAAAATCAAACCACCCTGGCCCTGGCAAATAGTTTCACTCATTCAGTAAATATTCCCAGTCACTACATTTATGATTTTTTTTTTAAAGATTTTATTTATTTATTTGAGAGAGAGAATGAGATAGAGAGAGAGAGCATGAGAGGGGGGAGGGTCAGAGGGAGAAGCAGACTCCCTGCCGAGCAGAGAGCCCGATGCGGGACTCGATCCCGGGACTCCAGGATCATGACCTGAGCCGAAGGCAGTCGCCCAACCAACTGAGCCACCCAGGCGCCCCTACATTTATGATTTTTATTGCATCTTTATCTAATGAATACAGGGGCCTGACGGCAAATTGGCATTTAAAATATTTATGATTCACATATAGCAGAGGAATGATCTCAGGGTTCTTTTTTTTTTTTTTCCTCTCTCCTATTATTTTCAGAGTGCTGAACATGCTGTATATTGTGTGGATCGGTCAAAATTCTTAATTTCCGGTTGGTCCAGAAAAGTCGAGACAAGGGAGTAGTGTTACAGATCTGATCGTGATCTTAAATTACCTGATGCCCTTGTATGCCCCAAATCCTGCGTTCATAGGAGGGCTGTTTGAACAGGAAGGAATCAGGGTGGGGATATGTAGGACTCAGTGTCCCGAGACGAATAAAAGTCATAGAAAAAATAAGGAAAACAGGGGCGCCTGGGTGGCTCAGTTGGTTAAGCGACTGCCTTCGGCTCAGGTCGTGATCCTGGAGTCCCGGGATCGAGTCCCACATCGGGCTCCCCGCTCAGTGGGGAGTCTGCTTCTCCCTCTGACCCTCCCCCCTCTCATGTACTCTCTCATTCTCGCTCTCTCAAATAAATAAATAAAATCTTAAAAAAAAAAACAAAAACAGAATGCTGTGTATACGTTCCAGATGCAGAGGGGAATGGGGAGTGACTGCTTAATGCGTATACGGATTCTTTTGGGGGTAATGAAAATGTTCTGGAACTAGAAAGTGGTTATGGTTGCCCAGCATTGTGCATTTACTGGAAGTCACTGAATTGTACAGTTTAAAGTGGTGAATTTTATGTTATGTGAATTTTACCTCACTCATGATTTAAAAAAAAAAAAGGAATAGGGGGCACCTGGGTGGCTCAGTTGGTTAAGCGACTGCCTTCGGCTCAGGTCATGATCCTGGAGTCCCTGGATCGAGTCCCGCGTCGGGCTCCCTGCTCGGCGGGGGGTCTGCTTCTCCCTCTGACCCTCCCCCATCTCATGCTCTCTCTCTCTCTCTCATTCTCTCTCACAAATAAATAAATAAATAAAATCTTTAAAAAAAAAAAGCTATTATTAAAATTGAGTAATACAGGGTGTCTGGGTGGCTCAGTTGGTTAAGCAACTGCCTTCGGCTCGGGTCATGATCCTGGAGTCCCGGGATCGAGTCCCGCATCGGGCTCCCTGCTCGGCGGGGAGTCTGTTTCTCCCTCTGACCCTACCCCCCTCATGTGCTGTCTCTCTCCTCTCATCCTCTCTCTCAAATAAATAAATAAAATCTTTAAAAAAAAAAAAAAAGAAAAGGAAAACAATGCGCATTTGCAGTGTTACGGACCTGAAAAAGACACTGTCCTATAGGCAATGTCTCTTGACTGTTGTCACCCTCACTGCATCAACTAGAGCAGGGCTCACCTGATCCATTTTACAGCTCATGTGGCAGACACGAGACCAGCCTGGCAGCCAGGTCTTCGGGCTCTCTTCCGAGCTCTGTCCTCTGTGCCATGGGTGCGGGGGTGGGGGGGGGGGGTGACCAGACATCTGCTGGTGATCACAAACTCCTCGGCCACTCCAGCTGGGGTGATGGCAAAGGCGCAGTCGGGGGGACCTTTTCCACTCTGTTCATTTTCTGAGGAATACCATGCTTGTGTTCTCCCCCCAGGCCTCTGTCTCTTACTGCAAGCAGAGAAACAACGTCTGTGCCCGAGCGGGGTTTATGTCCAAAACCCAGAGAGGATTTTTCACTATCGCTGAAACAGGACCTGCCCCAGGTAAGCAGCCACCTTGCACCAGCCTTGACCCAAGGGTTAACCTACCAGATCTGCTCTGTGGGGCACCATTGCTTCGTAGGAGTCTCTTTGGAAGGAGTTCGGCTTGGGGTGGGGTGGGGATGTTGAACAGGTGCTGAACAAAAAGGAGAAAGCTCCGGGGAAGAAGGGCTGCTCTGGAAATGGCCCCAAAGCAGCCTCGTTGGCCTCCCTTTTCATGACCGGGCACATCTGCTCTGGGCTGCTAGATGGGGAAGTGGCTTCTCACCGCAGAAGTGTGCACATTCCTGTGCCCCAGGTGTCCTCACAGGCCCCCGGGGGCGGGGTGGGGGGCACTCAATACGCTGAGTGTCCAGACCCTTCCTTTCCTCCTGAGCCTGGAGGGGACTTCATCAACTAGTCCCCAAACACTGGAAAATGGCTCCGTTTACTGAGAGCCTACTCCGTGCTAAGTATTTTCCATGCAGTCCTCACACATCTGTCTTCCTTGGCCTGTGCTCTCAGTCCTGTGTCCGGTGAGGAGAGGGGGCTCAGAGAGGGGAAGTGACCTGCTCCGCGTCACATGGCGGACGGATGGCAGGCCTAAGCCCAGAGGGGTCTGACCGAGGAGACTATTGCCCCCATCAGCCCCTAGTGACTTCTGAGACCGCCCCAAGAGCTGGCCTGCAAGTGTTTTCCTCTCTGGGCTGGGAGAGGTGTTGCTCCATCCCGTTCTCTCAGACCTGCTCCCCACTTCCAGCCTCAGTGAAAGGTTTCCAGAGAGGTCAGGGGACACCACCACTGACACTCTGGGAGCCCTCGTCAGAGTAGACCTTCCCAGTGGGTCCTCCCCCCAGGGAGCCCTGAGCCCCGGAGCTGAGGGGAGGAACAGGGAGGGTTTCTGTGCAATCACACCTCTTGGAGGCGGGGTGTGGGTAAAATTGCAGCGGGGTGTGGGTAAAATTGATTTCACCAAATCCAGATTAAAGTTGAGAAGATCAGTCCGAAACTGAATAACAAAACCAGCCCTAATTAGGAGGCTAAGTCCGGGCTAAAGCTCCCCTGGCTTACATCATCATAGGCAAAGCCCCACCTTGTTTGTTTATACAGAACAAAGCCCGCATCCCTGGAGTTTGGCCAGAGGCCGTGCCAGTGAACCTTGAGATGTGGGCACCTTCTCAGCAGGCCACATGCACCCACTCCTTGCATGAGGGTCCTCAGAGGCCCCTAGCCCCTTGTAATGTAGCAGAGGGGGAGAGTATGTGGGTACCAGGAAGTGTTAAACTCCTACTGTGCCCCAGAGGCTTTACGTTTCTCATCGAATGATCTCCAGACCCTGTGGAGGGTGTGGCCAGCACGCAATCATTTTGCTCAGAAAGCGTGAGGTACTATTATTATTGATCCCCATTTTTCAGGCAAAAATGATACTTAGAAAGCAGGTAATTAGCCCAGGGTCCCATCGGTGGATTTGAGTCCAGGCCCATCCCACTTGATACCTGGTGCCTCAGACCCTCCCCACCCAAAACTTGCCTGGGGAATCTGCCCCTGTGCGATAAACAGTCAGCTTGGACCTCTCAGAAATAACGGGTGGCTCCTTCTCCTCCTGCTGGGGGAAAACAGATGTGACTGGTGCCCCTGCAGGGTCCCTGTCCCAGCTGCTCCGAGGGCCCCTTCCTCAGGGGCCGAGGGCCAGGACTGGCCTACCTTCAACTCTGAGCAAAATGCTCACCTTCACACATTTCCTGGTTGGATTTTGTGAAGTTTACATTTGCTAAGCACATCACGAATGTCCTCCTCTCTATTTTTCCTTTAAAAAAAAAAAAGCTATTAGATTGGGGGAAACGCAGATGTTAAAGAGTCACTTGAAAAACGTGGGTTTCATGGGGCACCTGGGTGGCTCAGTTGGTTAAGTGACTGCCTTCAGCTCAGGTCATGATCCCAGGGTCCTGGGATCAAGCCGCACAATCAGGCTCCCTGTTTGGCGGGAGGCCTGCTTCTCCTTTTCCCACTCCCCCTACTTGTGTTCCCTCTCTCGCTGTGTCTCTCTCTCTTTATCAATTAAATAAATAAATAAAATCTTAAAAAAAGAAAAACATGGGTTTCAGAATGGGAATTGCACTGTGAGATCAACACTGTGTAGTCTTCCAACCACACTCAGGAAAAGACGAGAAGGAAATAAAGACCAGTGCTTACCCTTGGTTCTCTCTGGGCCGCAGGAACATGAGTGTCTTTCTCTCCTTGCTTCTGCTTTTCAGAATTTGATAATCAAGGGGTTGCTTTAACCTTTCTGTGGAAGGGAAAAAATATATATTTTGTATATATATAGAAAATATACACATTTACACAGTCATGAGAGAAAAAGAAACAAAATATGAGAGAGTATACCAATATTATAAATATTGCTATACTGGACATTTGCCTTTTTTAAACTTAAGCATATATTGGGAACATCTTTTCATGTTATTAAGAAACCTCCTAAGAATATCATTTTTGAAACGGATGTATGGTATTCCATTGCATGGCGGTACTGTAAGTTAAGGACCAAATGGCCTCTTACTGGAAATGTAGGTTGTTTTAGGCAGCAAACATCCTTATAGCTCACAGCTTGGGTACAATCAAGATTATTTCCTTATATTAATTGCTTAAAGTGAAATTGCTAAGTCAAAAGTATGTAAAATATTTAAGTTTTGGGTTTTTGTTTTTTTTTTTTTTGGTGACCAAACTGTTCGTCAGCAGAGAGGTAATTTCTCCTCCTGCTTCTATGAGGCACCTGTTTCTCCTCACCTTTGCCACCACTGGGTATGATCATTTAAATAGAATCTCGCTAATACACTAACTTGCTAATGCGCCATATTGTTGTTTTCAGTACATTTGCAATGGAAGAGTACATTTTATTTAAAACGAAATCAATCTTACAATGCTTAGAAAACTTGAAATATTTTTCCGACCCACAATGCTACCACTTTTCTGGGCTCCCACCTATTTTTATTCAGGCGGATCCATTTGTCCCTAGATGTCATCATAGTATATAGGGACTTGTAGGCATTGTTTTCACTCACCTTTATTTTCAGAAACATGGCCATGCGGCTTTATGGTCTCCATATTTATCAGACCGGGCTGCTAGTCCCAGCACAGGGCCCCTGGTCTCGGACCTTCTGGCCACGTACCCCTTCTCACACTGCGGCTACTGCTGTTGGTGTGCGTCTCTATGCTTAGAGCTTTCCCGGATGTTGAATAATTTCCTTAATTTCTAAGTAATGGGAAGGCTGAGTCAGAGGATCAGACATCCTCAAGACTATTGCTCAGTACTGCCTCTTTGCACTCCAAAAACGCCTGCACCCATCGACGGGGCTCCCGACAATTTAGGGTTGACCCTACTTCCTCTTCCCCCAGCCCAGAACCCTCTCTTCCTCATGAAGCTTTGTGCGCAGCCAAATTCATTTTATTCTCTCACGGTTTCTTGAAACAAGGCATGGTGGGAAAGCATGGACTTTGGAGACAGGTGGCCCTGGGTCCACATAGTAGGTGCTAAATAAATAGTTGTGGATTGCATAATAGTTACTAAATGCCTACTATGTGCCAGGAACTTCAGTATTACTCAACTATCCTAACCACCCTGTTGTTGGAAGAATTATTCTTACCTTATGGAGGAGGAAGCCGGGCTTAGTTCCAAATTAGATGAAATCTTTTTGGCAAAACTATTCAATATCTCCAAGTCTCCCTTTCCTCCTCTTTAGAATGGAGGTGACAATGACCCATCTAGCTGGGCTGCTGTGAGCATGTTTCCTAAAGGGTGAGTGTAATTTTCAGTTACTTCAGGCAGCCCTTCCATCAGACCATCGTGGAGTGATAGCCCCTTATAGTATTAAATGTATTCTTAGGTGTGAGGCATTGCTTTTCATTAACTTGAGAAGAGTTCCTTATCCTGTTTTAAAATGTCTTTCTTCTTAGGGCATTATAATATCAACGAATCCCTTGTGAAGCAGTCGCCCAAGGTATTAATGTCTTGTTTTAAATCAAAAACTGGACGTGGATTAAAACTGACATCGACAGGCCCGGGACCTGGGTATTACAACCCCAATGATCACACCAAGATTCTGAAAAAGACTCTTATCCCGTGAGTCCTGATTATTCTGATCTTTCTTTGGAAAGGAGGTTCTGGGGAAGGACCCAACATAAGCGGAAAAGAAAGGGGTGTCTCTGGTTGGCAGGACACAACTCCAGGTCACTCTCCGGGGGCCCTCGTTGACATAGTGGGTGCTCAATAAATACTTATTTAATGTATAATATTTATTGAGCAACTACTATGTGCCAGCAACTTAGCGTCTTACTCAACCATCGCAATGACCCTATTGTAAGAATTATTATTCTTACTTCAGAGACTGGGAAGCTAGGCTGCAATGAGGCTGAGGATTTGCCTATGTGCACACAGCTAACTTGAAATGCCACTGGGAATCAGGCTCAGAACCAGCTGGATCTTTCCACATCCCTCCTGATGATGTGCTTTCCTGGTGCTGACATTATTCTACTTTTATAACATAAAATCTTCACTGGGGTGGCAAGATATACAGCAGCATGGGGCTGTCATAGTTTTGTACTGATAGGTTGGAAGTGTAGACTGTGGAGTTGGTCGGATCTGCTGGATTTGAACTTCAGCTCTGCTGTTTTCATGCAGTGTGACCTAAGGCACTGTACTAAGCCCTCTGAGCCTCCGTGGTCTCATCTGTGAAGTAAAGTGGGGATAAATTCATGCCTCATAGTGTTGCTTTCAGATTTTATAGCATAGGTTTGGCATGGAGTAGGTCCAAATGGTGACGATATTAGCACAAATTTAAAAAGTGAAGCTGGGGATTTGTGTTAATATGATTAGTACCCTATGCATTTAATACTACTTTCATCAAACAGATTCAAGAACTCACAGGGCTTATTTATTCCTCAGATGGTTCTAGAACTAGAACTAACTGTAAGGTCAGGTGGCCTATCACCATCTAAGACCTCACCCCAGTATAGTCCTCTCCAGGCAGGATTGGCCCCTGGGGGTCAGGCGGGTAGCCAGGCTCATACACACAGTGGGTCAGAAGTCCAGGCAACCGAGAGAGGCTGGCAACATCGAGCCTACTCTGACCTCCAGCGCAGGACAAGGAGACGGGATTGGGGAGAGGAGCAAGACAAGAACCTGCCGATCTGGAAAAGGGATTCAGAGCTCAGATGGAATCCACTGGGCAAGTCCCATCTGCCCTTTGGCTCTTGGGTTCTGCAGGTTGACCCCTCACAGGCTCCAGGGCTCAAAACTGGGATAGGACGGTCTCCAGGAGCAGGCTCTCTCTGAACGTCGGGGTCCCCCGCCTCCAGGCGGGCTTAGGGCGTCACTGCACACCACATTTCCCCTGCTTTGCCAGCAAATAGAGTGGGTAAGGGGACAGGCTTTGGAGCTAGCAGAACTGGGTGTGAGTCACAGCTCTGTCCCTTGCAGAGGCTTCTTCTCTCTGAGCCTCAGTTTCCATGTTAGTAAGTGGAGAGAAGAGTCTTATCTCATAGGGGTTCTGTGAGGGTTAGATGAGAATTTTATCATTATAGATGTTGCTCTTCAGCATCCAAGGCATATGAGCAAATAGGGTACAGCTCCTCTTTGGCATAGCCACTCAGGCCCCTAGCTTGAATCTGGAAGCTCCTCGAGGAGGTAGTGAAAAGGAGAGTAGAGAACACTCAGTGTTGAGCTGCTTTCCCCAGAGAAGAGCCATTCGGCGTTTGCTAAAGTTTGGACAAGCGGTTTGAAATAATTCTCATTTTATGGCATTTGCACCTGTCAGTCAACAGGCTCTGTCGGTTTCTGGGTCTGAGCTGGAGGCTGTGGGGGTGCTCGGGTGAACAGGGCACCATACATACCTTCAGCTGGGTTCACCTGGGAATGACTCCAGAGCAAAGCAGAGGCATGTGCAACAAAATGCTGGATCATGTGGCCCCAAGGCTGTTGGCTACACAGATCCGGAGGGCAGTCTTTCTAGCTGGGTGCAGTGCAGTGGTGCTGGTGTGTCTGGGGGTGTCTGGGGATCGCTGGCTGTTTTGTGATGCTTTGTGAATGACAGATCTTTGGTAACAAGTCTAGGAAGCCCTGAATACGAACCCTCTGCCCCTGGGAGCACCACTGTGTGCCTGGCCTAATTAAAGGCTATGAGATGTCCCGAAGTAAAGAAATTTATTAAACCCAGTGTCTCCTAAACTTGGGGTCCCCCTTGTGAGTGCATGGTGCCCTGGGCAGGACATTTGTGTTAACTTCCCCCATGGTCTGGGGCTGCTCTCAGCACCTCCGTGGGCCTTATTTCTTTATGTGTGAAAAGAGGGGGAGGTCTTTCCATTTCTGACACTCCAGGCCCCCGGGTTTGCTCACCATGTCATTCAGGAGCACATACTAGGGGCAGTGAACACGGAACCAGCCTGGACCCACAAAGAAGGCCCAAAATACATACATTTTTAATTGACATGGAAAGGATACAGCTGAGAAATCTGTAATTATACTTAAAAAACAAGAAGATAAAACTCAAGTGTGCTCTGGGGTGATCTAAACAAACATCCATTGGTTTATGTTCAGTGATGAAGAAATGAGTTAATATAAAGCAAAGATACAGCTAAATACCCTCTATTGAGGGGGTATCCAGACTCCAGTCTCTCAAATTGGAATTCTGTTTCCTCTCCTGTGTCCCTGAAGGGAAGAGAGGGACAGGAGTGGCAGGAGTGGGGGGGGGGGGGACGGGCACCTGCTGGGATCATCAGGCCCCTAAGAAAGTCTGTGTTGTTTCTTCCCCATCTCTATGTAACTTTGTTGAGACTTTATCCACACCAAGTCTGAGCACTATTCGCTCTCCAGGGCTGCATGGGGCAGTGGCAGAGAACCTGAGAGTCATCACTGGGTTTCCTTGTGGCTAGTGCAAGCAGCCCAGGTTCCTTATTTGTCTTGAATTACAGTGCTTGGCTCCTTATTTTGGGGGAGGGTCCCAGCTTGCAAAAGTAACCTTTAGGCTCTGCTTTCTTGAGGATGCAGGAAGAATCGGGCGATATGAGTTGTCCCTAGAATGGCTGGTCCCATGTTACCCACCAACAAAAGTGAAGCCCAGGGAGTTGAGGGTTGGGTGATGTGCTTGGGAGGCCGGCAGGGGGCCAGGCATGGGCTTGTCTTGTCTCCGCTCTCCCCCTCTGGCCCCCAGAGCTGAGAATGAGCTACAGAGGCAATGTGGCCTAGGGGATGTGTGTATGCACAGGCTCCAGGTCAGACCAGCACTGAACCGCCCTTCCCCACTCCCCAGCTCTGGGAGCCTGGGGGTGGGGAGGGGCCCCCTTAACTCCCAGGAATTCAAATTCAACTCGGCAAATTGTGAAACGAACACTTGGTAATGTGCTTGCGAGGATAACATAAGATAACCCCCAGAACTCACCAGGTCTGGCGCACGGTAAGCTTTCGATACACGCAACTTGTATTTTTATTGAGGTATGTGAGCAGGTCGTCTGTACTCACCTGCTGCTTCTTGAGTGGCCCCGGAGGGCAGGTGCTGTGCTAAGGGCTGGCAGGATGTTCGGATGACCATGTCTGGGCTCCCTAGCTGAAGAACAGCGCACAGCTGTCTCTTTGCAGTGGCCACCTTCCGACGCAAAGCTAAGAGCATTTATCGGCTTACAGGGGGGGCTTTCGAAGATAAGTGAGGTGTCCGCTTCAGGTCTTCAATACCGTCACAGTGATGAGTCAGTGAATCAGGGTGAGTCAGGATAAGGGCTTTTTAGAGATCAAACTGGTCCCTCCCGGGTGCTGCCTTCCACACACGCTCGCCAGCAGGGAGGAGAAACGCCCACTGACATCTTTCTAACCCTTGATCTGCTTCCTGGAGTTTCTAAGCCACTGGTTTTGCACAGACACGCTGTCCTGCCACAGCCAGAGCTGAAGAATCAAACCCTGTTGGCCCCGCGCCAATTTGGGTAATTATCATGGCCCACCTAAAGTTCCCCTGGGATTTTCAATTAGATATGGGATGCTTCTTCCCAAGCAGTTGTAATCTGTCACCCTCTACCCTGTTAAACAGATGCTGCATTCCACCCCAGAGGCAACCGGCTGCCCTTTAATGATGAGAAAAAATTGCCCCTTTATCCCTCCCAACCCTGGGAATCCCCGAGGCAGAGTGAATTGGTGCCTGGGAGTGTCCCGAGGGTCTCGGATGCCTTCCCCGAGTGACCTGCTGAGTCCTCAGAGACATTCATTATTCTTGGGCGATTTGCAAACAGTTCACATTGGGAGTTGCAAACATACTTAATCCAGTTGTGGCCAACTCAGAGCCTTTGATAGATGTTTTCTTTCTACGGGGCAGGACCAGGTTGGCTTTTATAACTGAGCAATGAGGCTCATAAAAGCCCCGGTCACAATGCACTGAGGGCTGCCCTGGGTCTGATCCAGCATGACCTTTGTGATCTGCCCAGCCCCACCCCGCCGTGGAGGGAGCAGCCCCAAACGATGTTAAAACTGTCAGGTAGGGTTCAGATGTCTGGGCTCCCCGACTTGCTGAGACCCCTCTGCTTTTCTCTGCAGTTCAGCAAATGTCTTGGGGAATAGGGATGGGGCCTCAAAGATGAATCAGATGCAGTCCCCCGCCTTAAAGAGCTAGGCATGTAAAGAGCGTTAGAAAACCTAGCATGTTCTGTACAAAGAAAAGAAGAAGGGCTAGAATGTATCGAGGGCCCAGCCACGCTGAGCTAAGAGCTTTTGTGGATGTCACCTAGCGTCACGCTGCCAGTTCCCCTGCAGGACAGTACTGTTACATAGAGTACAGATGAAGGTGGTGGAGCAAGGAGTGGCATGCAGGTCCAGCTGACTCCAGGAGCCATGCTGCTCTGTGGAGCCCCAGGAAGGGCAATGGGCAGGGGGAGGGCAGGGGCCACAGAAATTTCCCGGAAGGATGTGAGATGTGAAGACTGATCAGAGTTGGCAGGGAAAGGAGGTGATCCTGGCAGAAGGAAGAGCGCAGGCAAAGGCAAGGCGTGGTCGAACAGTGTTGTGTTGGGGGTTTCCAGAAGGTCAAATGGGAGCAAGTGGCATGGGAGGTTAGGCTGGATGGAGAGGCCATAAATAGGAGCTATTCATTTAGCTTCTCATCGGGGTTTGTGAGGGTGGATGGTCAGAAACAGGTGGACATCCTAAAAGTCATGGGTGCATTGAGGGCTGAAGGCAGTCTAGGAGGCTCCGTAGTGTCTGCCTCCTTGTCCCAATTCCTGCCACATGCAGCTGCAGCTCATGCCTCGTCCATGCTCTTGCCCCTGCTGCTTCCTCTGTGCCCTTTTCTACCTGAAGAATTCCTGCTTACCTTGCTGGGCAAATGTTAGCTCTTCTAGGGTAGAGTTCTGGATTCACGTAATTGGAATCCCCCCACCCCTCTGACCCCACTCCCCAGTGCAGTGTTTTTACCTCTCTTCTAATATTTCTTGCTTTAAAAAAAATAATACAAGTAAAGCACCCATTAATCTTCATAAGAAACCTGGATGGAAAGTATTATTATCGCCCATTTCATAGATAAAGGAACGGAGCCTTAGGGAGGCTGAGACTTCTCTAAGGTCACACGGCTAGTGAGTGTGGATTCAAACCCAAGTTTGTGTGGGTGCAGAGCTTGTAGTTCCTTAATCACCAGCCATGACTGTCACTAGCAGGGGACTACCAAGCCCTTGGGAGCATTCAGGGTCTGTGTCTTAGCATAGAACAGTCTGGACTCCCCAGAGTGCCTGGCACATGGCTGCACACGTGGCTGGTGCTCTTTAAAGATCCAGAGAGCCGAGCTGCCGGTGCTGAGCCTCTCCTGGGCACGTGGATGGGGTGGAGGACAAGGAATCTCTCTAGGCCCTCTTGCCAAGAATCCTGATGAGACACTGGCCCAGCCTCCTGCAAACTGTCCCCAGTTAGGAGAGTAGACACCTTATGGCCTTCTCAAAGAATGGGGCCCGGGGGAGACCCAGACCCCTGGGATGACCTCATGTAGTGGTTGGCTCATTCTGGCTCCAGCTTTTAGGACTCAAGCCTATCTCTCAGTGATGCCAGTCCCACACTCATCAAATTTCTGGGGGTGCTTTGAAGGGGTGACACAAGCCAGAACAAGGAGAAGCCTGCTTTCATTTCTAAGGGGAGAGGTGGTTGATCACACACTACAACTAGTTCTTCCATGTCAGCTGGAGGGCAAGAAAGAGGCATGGTTTTTTCTCCTTTTCCTGTGGGCACCTTTGTTCTAAATATAAGCATCCCAGCCAGCTGTCCGTTTGTCCTGAGATGTGAGCCTCAAGCAGATTGACGATGACTTTCAACAGCCTGGCAGTGGGAGTGGCCAGCTTGCCCCAGGGTGACTCTGTGCAAGGGGCCCCCTAGCCTCTTTCTGAGGCTCCATTGCTGCCCTGAGACCAAGCAGCGGGCTTGCAGGGCCATCCTACTAACAACAGCTGCTTTTATTGAGCATTTACTGTGGGCTGGTGCAAAGCCAAGGGCCTTCTTTTCTCCACTCACCAAGTGTTGTTGCTCCTTGCTGCAGGGAGAGAGAGGTCGAGGGACTCGTCTGAGGTCTCACAGCCAGTAAGTGGGATGACTGGAATTCAGATGCCGGTCTGCATGACTCGAAATCTCAAAGGTTCCCCTCGGCCGTGATGCCTTCCCCAAACTGCTAGGCCCTTGAGACTTGAGTTCTGGAGCTGGTATTACCACTCACTGGCTCGGTGACTTTGGGGGACTCGCTTCCTCTCTCTGGGCTCCAATTTCTTTAGCACAATGAGGAGGTTGGATAAGACATCCCTAGGCCCCCTCTAGCTCTCTGAGTTTAAAAATGCCCTCGCTTCCAAAGGTGTTGGCCAAAGGGCAGCAGGGCACCAATGGCCAGGAATCCCGGTCCCCTCCTCTGTTTGGGTGGGTTGGCTGCCAGCTGGGGTGAGTCTCCTGTGGCTATTCGGTGCCGTAAGAACTTTCCCTTTCCTTTTGGTGAAAGACCTTAGACGAAGCCTCAGACGTGAGTGGGGGTGGGCAGCCTTCTTCTGCACGGCCGGGAGAGGAGTGGGATTCCCAGAACAATCCCAGAATTCCCTGGGCAACCAGTGGACCTCTTTGAACCATGGCCTGGTCATAGCTGGAAGGGACCTTAGAGGATATCATATCCAATCTCCTCATTCTGCAGATGGGGAGACTGAGGCCCAGAGTGAATTAGCGACAGAGCTCGGGCTCCAGCATGGGTTCCATTGACCTTTCATGTAGTCTCTCAATGCCGGACGTAAAAGACTCCTTTTCCTGAAGGGCAAGGAGATAAACCCGGAAAGGAACAATTTCAGTGTAAATGGTAAGTGTGAGGCAGAGGGCTCTTGATTTCCAACCAAGTATTTTCCCACTCGCACATCCTGCCTTGCCAGGAAGACATTTAGTAGGATTCTGAAATGTCAATGCTGGCCAGGTCTCTTGATCTGGAGTGGCAAATCCCTAGAATTCAGGAGGCCTTGTCCCATTTCCTGACCAGTTCAGCAACGACATCTGTAAAGTGCCTACTGTGCTCTCACTCTGTGCTGCCCCCCCCTCCCCCAATGACTGCTGGAGGTGCATCATCTCTTTGCAGCCTGACAACAAGCCTATGAGTTTAGTCCTGTGAATCCGCCATCGTGCAGAAGGGGAAAGTGAGGTTCCGGGCCCCCCTCCCCCCCACCGCCTCACAAGCAGCGGAGCCAGGCTCCGCCCAGGTCTCCTGGTGCCTGAGGGTCCTCATGCAGACAACTCCGTACCCGCCAGGTCTCGGCTTGGTTGACAGACTGCTTGAGTGCTATCTTCACATATTGTCTTTTTTGAAGGAAAAACCCCATCCTGAACTTCTCGGCGCAGCCTTTGCCCCTGCCCCCGAAGCCGCCCCTCCCAGGTCCTGGGCAGTACGAGATCGTGGACTACGTGGGGCCCCCCAGGCACTTCATCTCCTCTGCGTCCTTCGTGTCCAGCACCAGCCGGTGGACAGCGGCCCCGTCCCAGCCAGGCCTGCCGGGCCCAGGTCAGAGGAGTGTTTTAAATGACTATAAAAACCAGATCTGGGATTGTTTGTCATTCCTGGGCCATCAGATGTCACTGATTTATAGGCTGTTTGCCAAACAGGTTACAGAGGTTAGAGTCGATCTGGGAGACTTTTAAGCTTGCACCTTTGGAGTATGAAAGGGGTTTTTTGTTTTTAGGTGGAGGGGCTCTTAGAGTTAATCCAGGCCAGGGATTTGTAACCAATGACCATGGATGTCCAAGAGGCTCAGAGATGGGTTCCAGAGGGGTCTGTGACCCTGAATTTGCCTGCAGACTTGGAGCACGAAGACACTAATTTTTGGAGAAAGGGGCCATAGGTTTTGTTAGATTGTCCAACAATGGCACGTTCTTAGAAATGTCTAGGTCACTCTGGCCGAATCACTTGACAGCTGGGAAGGGCCCGGAGAGCAAGTTGTATGCTGAGCCACAGTGAGAGAGCTGCAGGCCAGAGCAGCAGGCTGTCTCCCCTCAGTGCCCTCCGTGCCCTCCGTGCCCTGTTGTCACGAGACACGCCAGGGACTCTTCCCTGGAGCAGCTCCTGGGAACGGTCTAGTTCTGCCTTTTTCCAGATGGCTGACACGGGGGAGCCCTGTCACCTTTGGGACCTACCTGGAAGCTAACAGCATGAGGGACCTACTCCAGCAGCTGGTTTCTGAACTCCCTGACCTCTCTGTAGCTCTCTTCGAGCCCCTTAGCTATGCCACCCCTTTATGTCGGCCAGAGCTGGTGGCACTGGGGACCAACAGGTGTGCTGGCAGGCAGGTGGTGTGGGAGGAGGAAGGCAGAGCTGAGGGGGCTGCAGGTCTGCGTAATTCAGTCTTTCGGTGAACACTGGTGACGCTCCCACCTTGGGGAGACAGAGGTGACTTAGCTTGGTGCTTACCCCCAGAGGCGTCAGTCTGGTAGGGGAGACACCTTCCTCTCCACACATGCAGGTGAGTAAAATGTAAGGTGGACAGGACGGGGAAAGCCATCCTTAGAGCTTTGGAAATGTAGAAATGATAATCCAGTCAAGAAGACTGCAGAGGTTGGACCTGGTGGTCACTGGTCAGGCCAGGTAGAGCTCAGCTTGGCTGGGCAAAGGTACTAACACTCCATACACACGGTAGTCTCCAGGAGGCCCGGGGCCCAGTCAGGATCCTTGTCTGAGCCTGTGTGACCCAGGCCTCTAGAAGCTTGTCCTGAGGGTCTTCTCCCTTCTGCACGTAGTGTGGGACACCTAGCGCCCAGGAGCAGACCACTTCCTGTTGCCATGATCACCTGCGCCAAGGTGGGCTTCCCTGGGGGGTGGCCTGGAGGAAGCCCCATGCAAACATCTGCCTTCTTGGCTTCTGGTGGGTCCAGATCAGTCTGGACTGCTTGGTGCTCTCATCGGCCTGGACCCTCGTTAGCCAAATCAGCATCAGTCTGAGAGTTTCCATTCACCCCCAGGTGGTCCTAGCACCTGGTCTCCTAGAGAGAATGTGCCTGCAGTTGTCATGGCTTTCGCTTTTCTGGAAATTTCTTTTTTTTTTTCTTTTTTTTTCCCTTTCTTTTTTTAAGTAGGCTCCATACCCAGTGTGGAGCTTGAACTCATGACCCGGAGATCAAGAGCCACAGGCTCGGGGCACCTGGGTGGCTCAGTCGTTAAGCGTCTGCCTTCGGCTCAGGTCATGATCCCAGGGTCCCGGGATCGAGTCCCGCATCGGGCTCTCCCTGCTCGGCGGGAAGCCTGCTTCTTCCTCTTCCACTCCCCCTGCTTGTGTTCCCCCCTCTCTCGCTGTCTCTCTGTCAAAAAAGAAATAAAATCTTTAAAAAAAAAAAAAAGTCACAGGCTCTATCAACTGAGCCAACCAGGCACCCTTCCCTTCTGAAAATTTCTGAACTAAATGAAAACAAAACCCCACCAAGGTGACACCTTGCTTCTTTCGAAGTATTGCTTTACTCCATAGTTTTTTCAAATCTGATAGAAAACTCTTTTGTAAATTTTCTTCTGTTAAAGAAGTTACAGGGAGTTAAAGAAGGCTGAAAGCCAGAGTTCAAGTCCTGCCTCAGCCAGGCCAGTCCCCTCCCCTCTCTGTCTCCCCATGTGTAAGATACAGAGGCCGGGACAGGACTACCCCTGGTCGTGCCAGCTCTGATGTAGAATGACAGGGGCTTGAGTAACTGGCTTTTGGTCTCTTAATATTGTCTCTCTCTCTCTCTCTCTCTCTCTCTCTCCCTCTCTCTTGCCTCACAGCCACGTATAGCCCAGAATTCCCTGGAAAGCAGTCCTTTCTCTACAACGAGGACAACAAATGGATCCCAGTGCTGTAGGGACTCACACAAGCTCAGGGAGAACCCTGGCCACCAGCTGCCCCACCCAGGTTCCCCCAGGACGTTCATTCAGAGAATGCCCATTTCATGAGTGACAGATGACTCCCCGGGGGGCAGCTCTGCTCCCGTCCCCTCCCCCCCTAGCTGGTGTAGAGCTGGGTTCCTGCGTTTGTCCTTGTCTTGAGCTGCCCCCTGGAGATTGGACTGGGTGGTTTCCTGAGCAGAAATGAGGAGTGGACAGAGCCTCCCTTGGTTACCTGGCCATGCACCTGTCCATGCTGGCTTTCGCAGGCCTCCCCATGGATGTAGGGGGCTGCTGAAGCTCAGACTCCAGGGAGAAGGCGGCCAACAGCAGATTCCACATCTAGAAGCCTGATGCTGAGCCACGGCTCTGGGGTCCAGAGTGCACCTGCTGGGTGGACCACACAGGACCGCAACACAGGCACACTCCCATCCTTCGGCCTTGACTTGCAGACTTCCCCTGGAGTCTCAGGAGCTGGGCAGGCCCAGAGGTGCATGTGACAGACATGAAGGGGTTGCCCGGGCCCTTGCCTCCAGCTGAGCCTTCGTATCTCATGTTTGGGAAGAGCATGGCAGCCAGTCACCGTGGTCACTTGTGTTCATTACCCGCCTTCAGGAGAGGCCACCACATCCACTTAGTGGCTCAGTATTGGGCAGCCCATGTGGGCAGGAGCCTGCCGGAGCCAGGGCCCTGGAAACTGCGATTCTGAGGGGCAGGGAGGCCATGCACCTCTTGGCGCCTGCAGGTTCTTTCTTTCCCCGGGACTTCCCTGTCCCCGGGCCTGGCCTCCATCTCCTCCCAGACCTCCTGCTCAAATGCGACACAGTCTTTAGTGGATATTTTCTGGCTCGCCAAATCGGTTTCCTCCTGGCAAGAGGAAGAGATTCCCAAAGAACCAAGGGGAACTGGAACTGAGTACCCATCCCCTCCTTCCCCAAATACCGTTGTTCCCATCTGCAAGTGCAGGGCTCTGGTGCAGCCCCCTTCCCGTGCCCCACATAGTCAAGACCTCGCACTCCCCGGGCCCTGCCTCTGATTTTTCTCTGTGACCAGAGAACGGCCTTCCTGTCAGAATGGCTGCTGACTGGCCCTCCCTTTGGGGAGGGGTGGGTGAGGAAGAGGGAGGGAGGATAGAATACCATAGCCAATTAAACTGAATTCTTGCATCTCACAAGAGCTGGCCTTTTTGTGAACCCCAGATTCCCGCCAATGCACGCTGTCTTGGGGTGCGTGGGAGGTGGCCTGGAGCACCTGGCAAAGCACCGTGCAAGGCTGGACCTCGGGGCAGAATGCTTTGTGTTCCCCTCCTGTGGGGTCCGTAGCTTCTCCTTGAAGGAGAAGAGTCAGATTCAAATTCCGGGGCTCAAGGTCAACACTTCCAGGGGCTGGGCAGGTAGTGCGTAGAGGAAAGTAGGTAAGGCCGGGATAGGGAGGGGGAGCTGAGGCCGCTCGTCGGAAGGGGCATCCAACACGGCTCCAGCTAACTGTGGCCACATCTGCAGAGTTTCAATGGAATCTGGGAAGTCTTTAAAATGTGAAATCTCCTGATTGGAGATGTTGACAACCACCTTTCAACTTGAAATTTTTGGTTGGGGCTAAAGGAAACTTCTGCAGGCCATCCGTTGTCCCCTTGGGTTGTAGAAGTTCTGGAAGACCCTTGCAAAGTTGGCACTTGACGCTGTACCTTTCTTTGAACCCAGACTTTTGACAATGGGGCCAGACCCCAACGCCTTGAGATTTAGGTCCCTCTGACCCTGGGGTACCTTTAGCAGACGATTGGGCTGGACGCCGCCGGCCCTGGGGTCTCTGTGGGCAGAGGCTGGGAAATGTATAGGAAAATGAGCCAGGCCTCTCCTGCCCTCGGGCAGCCAGGCTGAGCACCGGCAGGTAAAGGCCGTCTCTCCAGAGGAGCCCCCTCCACGTGGGGTCAGGAAAAAGGGGACTCTGGGAAAAAGAATGGCAGGGCTGCCCTTGGCCAGTCAGAATCTGGGTTCTATCAAAGACATGAGTGGAGCTGAGGCCCTGAGCTCGGAGGGTCTGTCTTGACCATGTCTAGCCTCTCTTAACGTGTCATGAGCTGTCTACAGCGCTGTCCAGCCCAGTGGTTCTCAGACCCTGGCCATACGTTAGGATCACCTTGGGAGCTGTTACAGAGACAGGCTGCCCAGGCCCCAATCCTTAGAGTTCTGATTTAATTAATCTGAGGTAGGGTCTGGGCCTTGGTATCTGTATTAAAGTTCCCAGCATGATGATAACGTGTCCAGTTAGGGTTAGGATACAATGATAGTTTATTAAAGTATTTTCCAAATTTTAATGTGCATGCAAATCACTTGGATAGCTTGTTATAAAAGGCAGATTCTGTAGATCTGGGATGGGACCTGAGAGTCTGCATTTCATTTTCTTTCTTTCTTTTTTTTTTTTGAGATATAATTGACATAGAACATTGTACTAGTTTTTGGTGTAAGCATTTCTAGCGAGCTCTCAGGCGATGCTGATGCTGCTGGTCCATGGACGACACTTAGGGTAGCGAAGGTCTAATAAATACACTTAATTGCTCAACTCCATTTGGCTTCCATTTGCTCACTCGTCTGCTGTTCGCCTATTTATCCTCCTCCCTCCCTCCTCTTTCTTTCCCTCCCTCCCTTCCTTCTCTTCATTCCCTCACTCACTCCTACCTCACGCCTGCTTTCCTCCTTCATCCCTTTCCCCCCTCACTGGCTTCTCGTCTTCCAGGGGAAAGCCACCAGGCAGGGGATGCACTCTCCACCAGCTGACGGCCACCTTTCTAAAGTCACTCCTGTTTGGAAAGGAATTACTTTAACTCCTTTCCCCCTTTGACTCTTTGGAGTAAAAGACGGTCCTAAAATGGCAGCTGTCAGGCTCAGGAGGCATGCTTGGCCCCTGACTTCTCAGAGGGCAGGCCTCTCTTTGAGGCTCAAATGGCTTTTATAGGCATTGACAGCCCTGGTCTCATCATGTGGTGGCTTTGCTGAGGAGAACCGAGCCCTCGTGGCTTTACTGCGGCTGCTGGATGGCGGGTGTGGGGCTGCCCGGCTCTCTTCCTGAACCCCTCCCTCGGCAGGAAGACAGATGCTCTGATTTGCGCAGATACTGATTCCTTGTGTGTATTAATCCAGCCAGACCCTGGCAGATGACAAAGGCTTCAAGGCCTGTATAATTATGGCCTCTGTGGAGCCGTGGTTCTTGACCTTGACTGCACACTGTAATCACCAGGGTGCTTTAAGAAGTTTTGAGGTCTGGGTCCACCCCCAGAAATTCTGATTTAAATGCTTCAGGGCGGGGGCACCTGGCTGGCTCAGTTGGTAGAGCATGTGACACTTGATCTTGCGATCGTGAGTTCGAGCCCCACGTTGGGTGTAGAGTTTACTTAAAAACAAAATTTTATTTCTTTAAGATTTTATTTATTTACTTGACAGAGAGAGAGAGACAGCGAGAGAGGGAACACAAGCAGGGGGAGTGGGAGAGGGAGAAGCAGGCTTCCTGCGGAGCAGGGAGCCCGATGCGGGGCTCGATCCCAGGACCCCGGGATCATGACCTGAGCCGAAGGCAGACGCTTAACGACTGAGCCACCCAGGTGCCCCAAAACAAATAAAATTTTAAAAAATAGATAAAGAAATGCTCCAGGCCGTGGGGTCTGGGCAGTGGGCAAAGGGATAAAAGCTGCCCAGGTGATTCCAAGGGCGAAACCAAGCTGGAGAAGCACCACCTGCCGGCTTCCCAGCTGCTTCTGGCAGGAAGCTCAAGAAGGAAGGAAGTGAACAGATGCTGAGCCCCTCCGGTGCACCTGGCAATGTGCTGACCCCCTGCACACACCCTGCCATCCCACCCTCACGCGTTGTCCTGCGCTGACAGCTTGGGTGACGTCATAGCTGTCGTGAGGCCTGGAATGGACACAGCCATTTGGATGCCTACAGGGTCCCTCGAGCCGGTGACATGCAAGCCATACGGGTGTCTGAGGTCACAGGAGACATAAGTAATACTGATCCTGGCTTCAGATGTTGATATTTTGTTCATGGTGGATTTGTTTTTGCCTTTATTTAAAAAACCAAAAAACATTGCATTGATTTCGCTTGATTCCTGAGCTCTTTGACTCCTCCGAATTTTTGTGCCTGAGATTCGGGCCTCGCTGGCCTGACCCTGGCCCTGGCCGTGACTCCAGGCAGGGCCGTGGGAATTAAGACCACTGGCTCCGACTGTCAGAGCTGAGAGGCCCTTGGAGGCATCTGTGGTTTACAAACGGTTTAAAAGTTTTGTTCAGACAAAAGTTTACGGGAAACCCTGATGTGTAAAAGGGGAAAAGCTGATCCACCATGAGTGAAGTCGGGAGGATCCTCAGAGGCTGCAGCTGTCCCCTCCCCCATATCGAGGTGGCCTCTGAGACCCACCAATCAGCTCTGGGGCTCTAAAGATGATAGTTACAAAGACCCACGGAGAACCCTCATTCATAGCTAAAGAAACTGAGGCCTAGAGGTGGTGGTGTGCTAGGAAGCTGGCAAAGGAAGGAAGGAAGAAAGGAAAGAAGGACAGATGCTCTGATTTGTCATTTGTTCCCTAGAGGAAATAAAGGCCTTGATTTGTAGCAGTTGTCAATTTCTGGGGCATAAATACTCCCCCATGTACCAATATGATGTCATGACCGCAGAGCTGGGAAGAGATAGGAGCACCCATTTCTGTAAGCTGCCGAGTCAGCTGCAGGGAAAATGACTTGGCCCGGAGTGTGGGGGCAGAGGTGGCACAAGAACTCAGGCCACGTGGCTCCCAGCCGTGGGCTCTGCCTCCTGGCCCCAGCTGTGCGGTCCGTGGCAAGGCCATCCTGACCTTCCCGGGATTTCTCCATCTCTAGTCAATGGTCCCAAGGTCATAACATTCAGCCTGTGTGACCACGCCAGACAGAGATCTCGACATCAGGATCCTGCTGCCTTCCAGGGGGCACCTCTGCTTCTCCAGTGCCCAGGACGCGCCACCAGCCTTCGAGTCCAGGGTAAACCACCCGCAGGACGGAAGGGGGTGGGCCTAATCTGCTTTCACCCTCTCTTCCTGGGAAGCCTTTCACAAAAGGAACATGTGTAGTATTTGAAGTAATACATAGGGAGAATTTTATTACTAAATACCATGTGAGTATACAAAATGCATAACTGAATAACAGCTAAAAAAAAATAGTCCAAGAATGTGAAATACACATTTTTTGAAATGATAAAAATGTATCCATGAAAAATATAAAATGTTGCATGTATATACAATATATACTTCTATATATATAACATAAATGACAATTGTAAATAAGAAATGTGTACATCAGTGAACAGGCATGGAAGTTGTTTCTTTTACAGCAGCTATTTTGTTCCAACCAATCAGCTCGATTATTTACATCTTGTATTGAGGAAATCCGTGAGAAAGAGAGTGTTTCCACTCTGGTAACATTTAAAAATTGTTTACACTGAAAATCAAAAGAGTTTTCCAGCTAATTGACCAAAGGGTCTGAAGTGGATAGAAGAATCAAGAATGAAAGCTGGACAAGAGTCAGGCAGCTGTGGGGGAAAGAGGGTCCGCTTCCACCATCTGAATAGCCAACCAGGAGATGGACTGAGAGAACACAGTCTTCTGAGGAGGAGACAGGCTGTGGGGACGTTAGCCAAGCTGGCGCTGTCTCCGGCTGGGCCGGCACTGGCAGGAAATCCAGCGTAGATTCAAGCACGAGTTGAGGTTCAGGTCAGGACACCTCCTAGGTCCCTTCCTGACCTTGGCATCTGTGGGTTTGCAATGTGAGGGCCTCTTCCCTCAGGCAGGGCATTCAAGTAACAGCACTGAGGCATGAGGAGAGGTTGTGTGTGGCGTGGGGCCACTTCCCAGACGGTTCCTTGCCTGGAGCCTACCCCTACCCCAAGGGGTCCGAGGGGGGTGGATGCTTGGGCCTTACAGCTCCTTGAGGATGATCTGAATCTTGCCATCAAGCTCCCCCATGTCCAGTAGGAAGGCGACGTGATTGCTGTAGTGCTGAATGATGTTGTTGTCCATGTTGACCAAGATTCTGGAAGAGAAGAGGAGATGTGTCTAGAATGTGGCAGGCCCCTTGTTTTCAGGGCCTCTATTGGGTGCCCCCAACATTCCAGGCACCTCATGAACTTTCTCCAGACCGTCATAACAACAAAGGTGGGTACTCATTGTCCCACTTGGCAGTGGAAGGCACATTCCCCAAGTAGCCGAGCCACACCTCCAACCATGGCCCCGACTGCACCAGACTGACTGGGGAAGACGCAGTGCTCCTTCGTCCCCAGGCCAGACGGGACACGGACACGAAGTGAGAGTTCAAGCACAAGAGGCGTGGTGGGTGGACCAGCATGGTTTGGGTTCAATAGGAGGCTGCGATGTGTCACTCAGGTGTGCCTGCCTGAGCCAGAGGCAGGTGCCACGTAAGGCCCCTCTCAGTTTCACCCCCATGAAACTGAAACCTCACGGGTGGCGCGAGAGACTCGAGGGGGAGGAGAGCCCTCTCTCCCCATGCTCTTCAGGCAGGGACCTGGGCCAATCCAAGAGGGACAGGGCCTCCGTGCTGTGGCCCCCCGCAGAGCATCAAAGCCACAGTGTATGCCCAGGGCCCCCCGCTAGCAGCTGCCTTCCTGATGAAGAGCCTCTGGGCCCGACCACATCAGCCTCCCCTTTGTAATGGAGGCGGGGGTCTTCATCCATCCACCCCACTAGCATTGACTGAGGCCTCTCCATGGGCAGGGTCTTGTTCCAAACAAAAACAAGGGCCACACAGAGATCCTAGACCCTGCCCTCCAGGAGTTCAGAATCTAGTAGGGCCTGAGAAAAGGAATCCTTAGAACCCTTTTACTCCAGTTGGTAGATGGGGAAGCTGAGGTTCAAAGAAGCGGAGTCATTTGCCTAGGGTCACACAGTTAACACATGGCAGAGCTGGGACTTGCATCCAGACTTTTGTCTCTTTCCACTGTACCATTTTTTAGAAAGAAAAACAACACTACAAATATAAGTTAGGAAGCGGCATATATGAGAAAGGCAAAATCCAGGCCTGGGGGAGAGTTCAGATGGGGGTGAGGTTATTTCAAGTGGGGCAGGAGTGGGGGGCTACGGGTCTCAGGATAGGGCTCCTGGCAGGTAGCTGTCTGCTTTTCCAGGGACCCCACCCCCCCCAGGAGGCGGTAGCCCCGTCCCTGCCATCCCCCAGGTCCGGAGGATGGAGACCTTGCCAAAGCAGTGAGCCCAAGCCTCTGGCCTACATCCCACATCTGTGCAGTAGCATCCAGATGCGGCTGCTTTCTGGAAGGAGGGCTGGGCTCAGGCTCCCAGGCCGGGGTGCTGACTGCCGGTGTCTAATTACAGGCTTGCGCTTCCTCAGATCCCGTCAGCCATTCTTTCATCTCACAGAGGGATCTCCATCTGGGGGCTGCAGGCTGGGCCAGAGGGGTGAGCGCTTGGTCAGCGGCCGGGTTTGTGTTGGCTTCTGATAGTGGCATTTCCGGGGTGCTTCTAGGTGCCGGGCACCGAGTGCCTTGCCTGCATGAACTTGAAGGCTGCTTCCCACCCACGCCCCAGCAGGGCTGCCAGCGGGCCCGGAGTGCACACCTCCACCCCAGGCACCCCAGACAAGCCCCCAGACCCCTCCCTCTCAGAGGTCAGAGACAGCTGGGCCCTAGAGGCAGGGCTTGCTGGGAACCGCTGCCCCAGAATGTGGGCCTCTTGTCACTAGCCCGCTTCTAGCTGTCTTCCGTCCCGGGCTGCCCGAAAGCCTTGGCCAGCTGCCAGCAAAACAATGTATTTGTTCATCTTTCAAGCACTCAGTGGTGCTTGTAAAGCTGATTGTTATCTACTTTTGTCCACAGGACTTTCGGGAGGGTTCTGTGAAAATAAGCGAGGCCACTGATTAGAATTTTCTGTTCCTCAGAGGAAGAGAGTGTGACATGAGGGACATGTGGCAGAGGAGCTTGGCCTCTCCTCTCCCGAAAGGTTTTTTTGCGGACTCTTCTCATTTACGCATCTCAGGTGACCTAGGCCTGAGGTCTTGGTGGTTGGGGGTGTGGGGTGCCTCTGAAGGGCCGCTAAGTGATGCCCTGGGCTCTGGGGCTAGGCACATAAAGGGCCGGGCCACAGCCCCTATTTGCACACTGCTTAGCGGTCAGAGGAACAAGCAGGAGGCGAGATAAAGTAGTGGTTCTTTACACAGGCCTCAGACAGGCTAGGATCCCTCCTGCTGGTTACTAACCGTGACTCCGGGCCCACCTGAACGTCAGTTTCCTCATCTGTAGAAATGCAGAAAGTCATACCAAACTCAAAGGGTCAATGAGATGATGCCTGGGAGTTCCTGAGCCCAGCGCCTGGCACATAGAAAGTGCTCCACACATGGAAGCTTTTAAATTAGGCTTTAAATAGCTGGCTAACGTTAAAGGGAAGGATCTGCAGTTTGGCCAGTGGGGCTGGGGCATCCTCGTATGCATACACTCGCCCCCAAATCACACACACACACACACACACACACACACACACACACACTTCCTAGCCCCTCGGCCCAGCCTGCCATGGGACCCATCAGGGAGGCCGGCAGCAGGTGGGGCTGCAGTGGGGGTGGGGGTGGGGGTGGGGACGGGCGCTGGCACCGAAGGGGCAGTGGGGCTGGGCTTGTCTGGGCAAAGCAGAGCCTGCCCTCTGCGAGGAGGTGGATTCCGCCCCAGAGAGCGTGTGAGCCCCAGTTTGAAACCGAAACTTGGAAGGAAAAAAACACACAAAAACTCTAGACACTCATACAACCAAAACCAAACGGGTCCTTTCCCAGGGGCTGCAGGACTGCACACCTCCCCCCCCCTCCCCGCCCCCTGCCCTTCTGTGGGAGGCTGGGTGGGAACCAAAGAGGAGGGAGGGTGGGAGGCCAGCCCCTGGGCCTGCCTGGATGGGGCCTCAGCCTGGGTACAAAACCTGCCTGGCTTTGCAAAGCCTTCTGAAAAGGAAAGCCTGCAGAGTGGCCACGGGGCAATGCCCAAGCACCTTCCAGGGGCCACCAGTAAGTGTAGCTGGAGTTACACTGTCCAGAGCAGGAGGACAGGGTCTGAGCTGCAGGCAGGGGGCCGGGAGTGGGTCCTCTGGGCAAGGAATGACGTCAACAATTCCTCACTGCCCGGAGGCCCCACGCTGGGCTGGTGCAGGGACTTGGTTAGCAAGGGCTGTGAGGGTCCAGCTCGCTGGCTCTGACCAGGGGGACTAAAACCTGGCGTGGGGGTGGGGGAGAAGCAGTCACCACATGGCCCTCCATCTCCCCCCTCTGCCGAGGACTCTCCTGGGCAGGTAGTAAAGGGTGCTGTGGTGTTTAGCACTAACCCCCAGGAACCCAGAGCAGGTGCCACACTGCCTGGCCCTCTGGAAGGTAAAGCTTCACTCCCTCCTGCCTCATCCAGACCTGAAGGTGGAGGCCTGTGGAGCATCCGGGGCGGGTTCCCTCAAAACCACGCCCAATCTCCACACCCTTTCCAGACTCCTGGCCAGCCGCTCCCTCCTTGGGCCCCTGACTCGACCGGTAGCAACACTGCTGGGCCCTTCTGCCTCCCTGTCTTTCCTCTGCTGCTCCCGGCCCTGAATACTGCTTAGCACCTCTGAGCCTCAGTTTCCCTATCTGTGAAGGGTGGGTCATGGTGTCTACCTCATAGTGTGGCTGTGAGAGTTAAGTGGGGTATGCGTAGCCCCACATCTGACACATGGTAGGCGGACGAGGGAATGGTAGTCAGGATCACCAGCATTATAATCAAATGACTTGGCTATCCCGTGGCTTTGGGATTTGGACCCGGGTCGTCTGATCTCTGGGCCTCCACTGGCCCTCTACCTGTGGTCTCTACAAAGACCCTTCCATCTGTCTGCCCCTCCTTTCCTTCCTGGTGCTGGTCAATGTCTGGTCTCTACAGGTGGTCTTGCCTGACTGGGGGCTTTCGGCCCAACTCCAAGGCCTTGTCCTCGCCACAAAGCCAACCCACTGGGAGCAGCCTGAGCCAACATTTTAGATAGAAAGGGGCAGCAAGGGGGGGGAATGGGAGGGAGAGCTGTACTGAGCACTTACCCCCGCTTACATTTCTTGTAGACTTTGTAAATGTTCTCTTCAGGGAAGCCATACTTCTCAGAGATCTGGAAGAGAACAGTAGGGGATTTGTTGTCTGCTGCCCAAACTGGATCTATTCCAGCCTTTTATACTATGACTTTATTTCCTGATTATAAAATATACATCCCTACTGTGGAAAAATACAAAGAAGAAAATTACAACTGTCCGTAATCCTGTTTCCCAGAGATAAACATCTGGGTACACTCTTTCCCATCTTTTGGCCATGGGTGCAGATTTTTTGTATTCCCCATGGAGCTTTATAGAACTTCTTTTACTTCACATCATATGTTATAAGCCTTCCTGCATCACAACAAACTCTTGACAGACTGCACGTTTAGTAGCTGTAATATATCCCAAGGAGCATCCACCAGGTCCCCCAACCCCTGCCTAAAGCCAGACCCACATCATGCCGGTGCCGGGGGCCCCCCACTCAGCAGCTGCCAACTCTGGGCAAGCTAGTGGTGGAAATGGTCATGCCTGCCCACCTCATAGGGCTGCTAGAAGAAGGGACTAAACTGGCCCAAAGATTCTGAGTCTAAGTGACATTAATGGCCTTTTGTGAGGCCAGCTTCTGGGGCTGGTTCCAGCCAAGCAGGACGGATGATCCATGAAGGGACCAGTAGGGTACAGCAGAGTGGAGAGAGCTTGGGCTGGACTGCAGCTCTGTCACTTCTAGCCACTTTGGCAAGTCACCTGACCTCTGGGAGGCTGTTTCCTCATGGAAATGAACAGATAATAATAGTACCCACTTTTTGGTGGTATTACACGAATATGGTGAGCTAGCAAACGTCGCATGCCTGACAAAATGTCTGGCACGTAGTGGGTCTTCAGTAAAAGGTAGTTGGTGTTACTACGGGTTCATTTTCCCTTCCCCAGCCCGCCCTCTTGGAACCCTCTGGCTGTCCTGTGTGGTTCAACCTTCAAGCCCAGCTGGAGACTTGTGTTTGCTCAGTTTTTAGCTGAGCCACAAAGCTGCTGTGGGTTTCGTTCAAAGCTGTTCCACCCGCTCTCTGGCAGTTTGGGGGGTTGGGGACAGTCTCCTTGCCCAGACGCCACCTTTCGCCGCCCCCCCCGCCAGCGCCCCCCAGCCAACCACAAGGTGGAGGAATGAGGCCCCCTGGAAAAGAAAAAAAGAGTGTCTCTGGGGCCTGGCCTTTTTGGGTTTCATTCCCATTAAAACAGAAACAGGTTTGCAAAGCCAACAAAAAGCTCTGGCCTGTCAGACAGCAGCCATCAGATTAAGGAGGATTTATGGTGTGTGTGACTCCCAGGGTGGAGCCAGGGTTCTGGCTGGGAGATAACATCACAGAGGCACGCCCCCACCAGCCAGGCCTGTAGGCACCCCCCCAGTGGGGTGGGACAGGTGGACCATCAGAAAGCCAGCGTTCCAGCATATTCCTCCTCAGAGCCTTCCTGTGGGAAATCAGTACTGTGGAGTGAAGAGTGGGGGACAGGAACACAGAGTGGGGTCTGGCCAGGGCTGGGGGGGTGTCACAGAGCCTCTTACCGCATTCCTCAGCCCCTTCAGGTCTGGGGTCTTCAACATGAGAGCATCAAACACCTCCTCGGTCTCCCTCCGCACATACAACAGAACTGAGAGGCAAAGGGATGGGGTTTAGTGGTAAGGGGAGGACAGATCAGCCCGGGAATACCTCAGGGGATGGGAGAATCTTTAAAAATATTATTATTTTTTAAAGATTTTATTTATTTATTTGAGAGAGAGACAGCACAGAGGGAAAGGGAGAGGGAGAAGCGGGTTCCCTGCCGAGCAGAGAGCCCCTTGCGGGGCTCAATCCCAGGACCCTGAGATCATGACCTGAGCAGAAGGTAGATGCCTAAGCTACTGAGCCACCCAGGCGCCCCCCAAAATATTATTTTTAACATGAGATTGATTTCTGCAGAAAGGGCAAATCCTTGCTGAGGGTCTGTACCCAGATGGGGAAATACCACCCAGCTCTGCAGGTCCCACTCAGACTGTGCTGATTTGGGCAAGTTCCAATCCCCGCTCTACCACCTGCCAGCTAGGTGACCCTGAAGACATTTTTCCATCAGTGAGCCTCACTTTATCCACATGGGAAATAGAGGTGGCCCCGCCCTCTATTTCACAGAGTTGTTGGGGAATTAATGACATGACATTTTAAATACCAAGTGCAGTACAAGGCTCAATTGAAGGTTGCCGGAAGCTTTTGATCTTAGCTGCTGGTTGGTTTCTCCTTGATAATCAGCTACAGCCCCCAGAGGTTTGGGCATGTCCCCCTCTCCCAGGAAGTCACAGATTCAGGCTGTCAAAGCCAGAAAGCCAGGTATGGAAACCCAACTCTGCTCGCAACCCCCAGTAGAGAAGGCAGGGGGCTTGCCCAACATAATGAGCCTGTTGCCTTTTCCAACTGCCGCAGGATGCCCATGTCCAACAAGGCCAGAGGAAGCAGAAGCCCTCCAGCTCCATGGACCTCTCTCCAAGCACTCTGGGTGCTCCCCTGGCCCCCACCCCACCCTCAAGGTTTGGCCCAACTCCAACTCAGAAGAGTAAGGCGGCCCCTTGTGCCCTCTCTGCTGGGACGGATGCTGCCGTGGCTGCCTGGGCCATGGTGGGTGTTTGAGGCTTTGGGGCAGGCCTCATGGGGAGCTGGGGGCTCTATGGTGGGCTCAGAGAACAGATGGGCCGGGAGTCAAGGTACCTCTCTGAAGATCGTCTTCCTTGGCCTTTTTGGAGGGCAGAGGCTCAAATTCCTCCGTGAAGGGTGAGCAGGTGCGTTTCAGAGGCAGCCTGGCGGGGGGCAGGGAGGAAGCGACAGGGAGGGGCTCGTGAGGAACCCAGGGGGATCCCAGAGTTGGAAGGGGCCCCAGAGCTCAGAAGATCCCATGAGGGCAGGCCCAAAGCAGTGGGATGGCAGTTAAAGCAACAGGTTCTGGAGTTGGGACTGCCTAGGTTCAAATCCCACTCACTAGCTGGGTGACTTGGGGGGAGTCTCTTAGTCCCTCAGGGTCCCCATCTATCCAATGGGATGACAAGACAATGACAACAAGACTTCATAAAGTTGTGAGGCTGCAGAAGATCATGCAAACTGCTTCTAGAACAGCGTGTGGTGCACAGCAGGGCCTCGGTGAATGCCGACTGTTGTTTTACCATCGATAGGATTCTTTTTTGAAAGAATCCACTTGGCCAGGAGGCAGGGAGAGGGGGCAGGGCTGTGGGATTTGGAGTAAGGCAGACTTAGGGTCCATGCAGATGCTACGCAAGCACTGTGTGAGCTTGGCCAAGTCACTGCACTTCTCTGAGCCTCTGCTTCCTCATCAGTCAAGTAGAGCAATAACCCCTGCTTGCCTGACCTGCTGGGGCTGTGGTGAGGGGATAAGTGACCTGATTTGGTATGGAAGCCCCGCATGAAAAGTACCCCTTCTTCGGCGGGGGAGGACACCGAGGTCAACAACAAATGAGCTCTCCCTTTTACACGCCACCCTCTCGTCCCGGCCTCAGGCCCATGAGGCCGTGCTCCCACTCGGGCAGATCTCTAGGCCAAGAGGGAAGGACGTCAGGAGGGGCCAAGGCGCCGGGCCCCTCCCTTGCCTCCTGGAGTCTTGGGGGGGGGTGGACCCCATGGTCAGTCCTGCGGCACAGCGTCCCCTCCCTGCTGTCTAAATCTGCACTACCATCTCAGAGGCTTCTTCCTTCCCTTTTTACAAGCATGTGTCTCGCCAGAGATTTGCCAACTTTTCACATAAAACAAACCCATAAAAACGTGGGCAGTTTCAGTGAGAAAGGAGCCTGAATCTAGCTTGGGGGCTGGGGGCAGAGTCTCCCAGTTGCCTCCTCAGCGCCCAGGCCCTGCCTTGGGGGGCAGCACAAGCAGTAGGGGGCCAGGCAGGGTGGGTGAGGAGGCCCCTAGCTGCTTCTCTCCGTACCTGTTGGAGCTGCTCTGACCCGCCGAGGGCACGGCCTGCAATGAAGAGGAAAGACATTTTCCATCACATGAGGAAGATGAGAGGGGCCCTCCACTGCTGGAGGCTTTCTGGGGGGAGGGGGCCCAATCTCTGGGTGTGGCGGGGAGGAGGGGAGATGCAGTTGCAATGCGTTTCCAGCCCATTCCGCTCAGATTAAGTCCTCTTAAATGAGCTGAGATCTTGAGTCAAAAGGTAGGATCCAGCCCAGGTAGAATGAGTCAAGGACTCCGTGGACACAGGAGGTGCTGAAGAAATATGGTGGACTCCATGAGCCCCACCTGAGCCCCAGCTTGCTTAGAAGGGCCAGGACTGCACACTGCCGTGCAGCTGGGAACTGGGAAGTAGGAGCAGAAGCACAAGGGGAAAGGGGGGTGAGGGGAAAGGGCACTCTCTGGAACCCCCCCTAAGCGCCTGGCACTGTGCTGTCTGGCCCAGGCATCACCAGTCCCATGACAGGAAGCACCCAGGCCTGCCCAAGAGGGTGGAGAGCCTCCCGAGGTAACACACCTGGTAGGAGGCAGATTCAGGATTCAGACCTCCCCGCCCCCCTAACCCAGGCTCACAGGGGCAAAGCCTGGGGGCCTCCCTCTTCCCCACAGAGCAGCCGTCAACTTGGCCACAGGGCCCTTAATCCCATGAGAGCAGTCATCTCCCGACTTGGGGCCTCTGGCTGGGGAGAGACACTGGGGTCATGCAGCCACCGGACTATGGGGCCACAGAAGCGCTTCCGGGGCCCGGGGGGCAGTGAAGGGAGGACGGTGGACACAGGAAGGGCTTTAGGTGTGCACCATTGGCCACATCAGTGCTGACTGCTTTTTTGGTTCCACAACCTCTTACTGTTTGAGGTGAGTGCACTGAACACAGCTTGGACAGCAAGAACTATTTCTGCAAACGTTCCCACCTACACGGGGAGGCGGGGGGGGGGACCTCGATGGAAGGAAATAGTCAAATTGTTTAATATGGAAGCAAACTACTAGACAGGCTCTGCAATCCTGATTCCCCCACTGACCTGCCGTGCGGCCTTCTCTGGAAAATGGAGGGACAACGGTATCTACCTCAAAGGAGGGCTCCCCGGCCTGAGAGGTGGTGTAGCTGGGGTTCGCGGGCTCGGCTTCTGAAGCCAAGGTGCCTGGGTCCAAACCCTGGCTCTGCCCGTGCTGTGGGGTTTGGTCTCTGTGCCTCAACGTCCACCCCACGAATCCGGGGAGAATGACAGTACCCATCCGGTAGGGTGGTAGGGAGGGGGAGAGGAGGTGGCGCGTGGGAAGCATGGAGAGCAGTGCCTGGTGCATAATGAGTGCTCACAAGCGTTGCCATGACCACCATGATCCAGCTTGGATTTGGCCGCCATCTAATTTGGGGCTCAGAAATCAGAAACTTCCATGCGCGCCCCAAGCATGAACATTTCGACGGTTATAAGGTCCGTTTCTTCATTGACCTTCTTCTCTTCAGTAGAAAAGGTCATTAATGTTGTATGAACATGCGTACGTTTTTTAATCCCATGGGATTCAATAAAAGCATTTTCATTTTGATGTAAAAAATATCGGACCTAAACACGTCTAAACTGGCCTGTAGTGGCCGAGTGGCAGGGTGCTCGCCACCAGTCTGCACCGATCAGGTCCCACCCAGGGGCCGGGACCCTCTCTGGCCGAGACCCTCACCCCTCCAGGACGCTGCAGGCCAGAGAAATGCACGTTGGGGATGAAGAGCACCGGCGGGGTCTCCAGGTCAGTCTCGGGCCGCAGGTACGTGGTCTCGTTGCCCCTGAAGCCGGACAGCAGGCAGCCCTTGATGCCTGATGGGAAAAGGATGGCACTGCATCTGGGACCTCTCCGTTCATACCCCCAGCCTCTGCCCTCCAGTCTCCTTCTCCCTTCGCCCCAGGCCAGCCCAGCCCCTGGCCCATCCCCACTGACCACTGCTGCTGGAGTCGGGGCACTTGACCTTCCTCCGGAACTGCTTCCGCTCATCATCCCGCATTTTCCTTTCTGCTCCCTGTGGGGGAAGAAGGGGAAGGGGGTCACCAAGGGCCTTGGGAAGGGCTGGCTGCCTTGCATCTTAACTATGGGCCAGCCCTTCCGGGGCTGCCAGCCTTCTAGGGCTGCTTTCTTCCCAGAGTGAGACCAGGAAATGGGAAAGTAGCAGCGCCCACCCCGCTGGGCCCAGCCCAGCCCAGCCCTGTCTGAGGTCAGTCCAGGCCATGAGAGACAGACAGACAGACGTGGAGGGAGAAGAACAGACAGAGAAACAGAGAAAAGGGAAGTGGAGTCAGAGAGGGACAAGAAGAAGAAAGAGAAACATGAGAGAGACAGACAAGACACAGAAAGAAACATGGAGAGATCTTCAGAGAGATCTACAAAGAGATCTTCAGAAAGAGAGAGGGGAGACAGAAGTGCAGAGAGAGGGAGAAAAATAGACTTAGAGGCTAAGACAGACAATGACAAGCACACAGAGGAGGGAGACGTGCGGAGAGCAAGAAGCAGAGGGAGACAGACATGCCCCGCATGGCTGGGGAGGACGCACGGGTGGGGGCTGGCCCTTCTCCCTCCCAGCCCACCCCCCACCCCAGCTACCTTGTCACAAAAGATCTTGATCTGGCAGACGGCTCGGTGCACCAGGCGCTCAGCGCCTGAGCCGCAGTCGTAGGTATCGATCTGCAGGTTCAAGGGGACTCCCTTCACCCCCTTCTGCGAGGAGAAGTCTGTGCTGAGGCAGTTGACGCCGATGAAGACCTGGGGACAGACAGGGGAGCTGGAGAAACAGCCTGCCCTAGGCGCCAGCCCTGCTGTCCCACAAGCACCCTGATCACTGAGCCTACTGTGCCCCTGGGGAGCGGCACCCCTGGCAGGCACCCATCACCACCTCTTTTATGGACAGCCAACCTGGTGCTCGGGGTGGCGCGCCGGCCATCCCCAGGTGACACTGGGTGTGGGGAGGGCCCAGGCTGGAGCCCAGGCTCTTCAGCAGCGGGTGAGGCAGCTCCCACCAGACTGCCAAGGGCAGCCCAAAGGATCAAGGCCCTGGGAGGGAGGTTAGGGGTCCTTCGTGGGCTTTCGTTAAAGTCCAGAGCCTCATTTTTCTGCCAGCCAGAGTGAGGAGTATGGAAGGGCCATAGCCCGTTCCCCCCAGCCCCGGAAGACCACCTTCCTGCTGGCCCCGGGCCACAGGGGTGAGACCCTGCCCCTCTGCACCCTTGACCACCAGCTCCAGCCATCATTGGACCTGTCACCCCCATTTTACAGCCAAGGAAGCAGAGGCTCTGAGCAGAGGGGTGACCTGCTGATGTTTCCACATTCCAGCAGAATGAGCCCAGGCGTGCGGCCACCCGGACTTCGGTTGGGGAAGCTGGGCTCTGCCACTCACTGGCCACGTGGCTTGAGACAAGTGCTCTAACCTCACAGAGCCTCAGTTTCCTTATCTGCAAAATGGGGTTAATTAAACCTACCTCACGTGGCTGTGAGGGTGCGTGGAGCACCTACTGAGCTGGGCATGTAGTGACCTGTTGTGAGTGTGACTGCTGGTCTCAACCCAAAGCCTAGGCCTAGCCGATGGCAGTCTGGGCTGAGTCTCAGCTGGGACTCCCTGGCAGGCTCACCTGGTGATTGTCTACCTGATTGACTCCTCCATGGGGTGCCAGGGCCACACCCCACTCCAGACTGGCCACTGTTCTTTGGGACATTTCCCTCGGAAATGGTCCTGACCTGCACAGGTAGGGGTGCGGTGCCTGAGCAGACCCCCTTCCCTCCTTGGCTGTGGGGGCCAGGCCCCTGGGCGCATGCCAGACATACCTCCCCCTCAGCCAACTCAGCCCAAATGCAGCTCCCACCCAGCTGCATGAGAAAGACCCATGCCCGGGGGCTTAAGGGGCTGTGAGAAAATCCTAGCCGAAACCCACCTCTCCCTTCCCATGAAACTCTTTCCCCCGCCTCCCTGCACCAGAGGCCCCAGCTCCTCCTCCAGCCCCTGGCATCTGTTTGAATAATAATAATCCCTCACTTTTGTGCCTCCCTTTGAGTTTTCAGAGCCCCTTCAGCTCTATTTTCTCCAGGCAGCCTGGACTGCCCCCATAAGGCAAGCTCCCCAGCCTGTCCAGGCCAGAAATGCCCTTGCCATGCGCTGGACCCAACCCTGGTCTGAGAGGATAGGCCTGGCGCAAGGAGGCAAAGGACAGGCCCAAGGTCACCCAGCCCCCGGCTCTCAGACCAGTGCCCTTTCCACAATGCCGGCTCTCCAAACAGAAAACCAAGGCACAGAGAGGCCCAGAAGCACACAGCAAGCTGGCCTTGGGCACTGACTGGCTGGGATGAAAAAAATCACCAGAGGCTCCACTTTCAGGCCTCTCCCAAGGGTCTGGCCCTGTGCCCGGCTCTGAGACATGCATGATCCCAGGGGATCTTCACTACAACCCCAGGAGGCAGACTACTGTTCCCTTCTACTGGACGCAGGAAGTGATGTAACTGGGGTTGCGGCCTCCCTTGCGGACTCCAAAGCTTCCTCCTGCAACCCTGACTGGCCTGCAAGTCGGCAAACCTGGTGCATCGGTGGCTGGCTGTGTGACCTCGGTTTTCCCATCTGGTGAATGGGTGGATGGGATTGATAACAACAGCCCCCACTGCTGAGCCAGGCTGGGCTCTACCCTTTACTTAGCACACGTGATCCTCATGTGAATCCCTCAGTCGGTGCTCTCATTGCACCCCAATTTTGTAGCCATGGTCACAGGGCTGGGACGTAGGCCTAGCCTTTCTGGAAGGCTGTGCTTCTCCTCCTCTCTCTATCCTGCCTCCTCCACGGGCACGCTCATCAAAGCAGCTGCCACAATCCTATATCCCCACCTGGGGACTTCCGAGGGACCCAGCCCCGTCACAGCCATGCACTGACCTTGGCCTCCTCATTGACATTCCACACGAAGGACAGGGCGTTGTAGGCCACCTCCTCGATGTGCTGCACGGTGTTGAAGTTTTCTTTGCAGTCAGCTGGAACCACAGGAGACCAGAAGGGAGAGTCAGGAGGAAAGGGATCTGGGGACATGCTGGGGAGGGGGCAGTTAGGAGCCGGGCTACCCTCTCCCCCAAGAACCAGGCTTCAATGTGGTGGGGGAAACTGATGGTTGTACCCTGGGTTACAGATGGGAAAACTGAGGTCCAGCCTGGGAAGCAGGTGTGCCCAAACCCCACAGAGAATCCCTAAGTTGGCCGGCTAGGCCAGGGCCCTCATCACTTCTGGGTGGAGGTTCGAGTTTGCAGTGGGATTGGGACTTGGGGGTTCTCCCAGACACGGTAGTAGTAGAAGGAGTAAGAGCAGTGCCGGTGGTGGTAAGAGCACCAGGAAGCGTAGCAGCTCTGGGACTCCTCACGCCGAGCCATCGCACGGACCGTGGGCGAACTGGGGGACGGCCACCACTCACTGAACACGTCAGTATGGCGAGCCCTCAGTTAATCCTCACAGCGACGCTATGAACACTCAGTTTACAGATGGAAAGAAAATGAAGCTCAGAGATGTCTGGTCACTTGGCCAGGGTGCCACAGCTTAAAAAAAAAGGCACAGCAAGGACTGGAGCTCAGCTTTGGCCCCTGGACACAGGCTCCTACCCACTTGCTATGTGGCCTCTCAGACATGTCATGGGATTGTTTCTAGTGATATCGTTTTCTCCAGGGCATACGACTCCAAGGCAGAAGAAACAGCACTGGAGGCAGGCAGGGTAGCTGGCCTTATTCCATTTGATAGTTGAAGAAACTGAGGTCCAGAAAAGGGAGGTCACACAGGTCACACAGTCAAGAAAAGAGTGATGGAGTCAGAACCTGGAGGCCCGAGGATGGGCGGTGCCTCCCACACATCCCGGGGCCCAGGACCGGGATAAAGTGGTACCCCGTGTCCCTTCCCCAGGCCCTCTCCCTGCTTACAGAGCCCCAGGGTCCCAGCTCCCAAAGCAGAACTGCCCTGCACTGTCCTTCCAACCTTCCAAATTACACTGCAGTCTGCTCTGTTCTCTTAGGCATTTGTGTCTCAATGGGCTAAGCCCCCCACGGGGACACGCAGGCCAGTATCCCAGGGGTCTATTTATCGCACACTGCTGGGGTCTCTAGGGCACTGTTTACCCCAAAGCAACACAGAAAAGAAGCCCACAGATGCAAATCCCTGCAAACCCCACAGCGCAGGACCTGGAGACAGGGGCCAGGCAGGAGGCTGGGGTGAGAACTAAGTCCCGCCGAGATCACAGGGGGCTGGGGAAAGGGGCAGGGCAAGAAAGACCCAATTGGGGTGTGTGTGTGTGTGTGTGTGTGTGTGTGTGTGTGTGAGAGAGAGAGAGAGAGAGACAGAGAGAGAGAGAGAGAGACAGAGAGAGAGAGAGACAGGGACAGGGAGAGACTGAGAGCCAGGGAGGGGGTTCTGGGGGGGCTCTCACCCACATCGATGACGCGCTGCTTGGCAGTGGGTTGCCGGGAATGCCAATGCTTCCAGAAACGCAGCTGTTCCACGGGCACCTTCTCGTTGTCGAAGACAACCATCACCACGCTCTGCAAGCACAGCGGCCGCTGTGACCCCCAGCCTCAGGAGAGGCCCAGGCAGTCCCGATCCCTTCCCAGAGCCCTGGTCCAGCAGCCCTGCCCTTTTGCCTCCATGTCCCCCCACTCCGTGGCAGTGGCACCACCTCCCTAGGGTCCCTGTCAGGCCGGGCTGGCCCAACCATCCTAGCCCCTTCCTGAGCTGCTCCAGGGACAACCTACCTTGACTTTGTTGGAGGACAAGGCAAGGCCTTTGCCGCCTGCCGGGGTCCGCAAGGTGATGGGGTAGAATTGGCCCTTGTTGAGGTAGGCCATCGGCGACTCCCCCGACTTGATGTGGATGGCTTTGGGGGAGCCCAGGGTGTACTCAAAGTCACTGCAGGGAGGAGAGGGGAAGGACAGAGAGGCTGACCTCGCAGGCAGGAGTATCCCAGAGGGCAGTGCGACAGGAGGCTCAGGATGTGCTGGGGATTTACTGTGGGACTTTGAGAAATCATCCTACCCCTGGACCTCAGTTTCCTCATTTTCGGAGTTTCTATTTATGGTTTCATTGATCCACAATCCTGCTGAATAACAAATAATGGAAACCAGAGAGACCCCTGAGGGGTGACAAAGCCCCAGGGGAGATGAAGGGCAACAGAACCTCAGTTTTTGAACAGGGCTCTGAGCTCCCTGTCACAGCCCAAGAAAGAAATGTAGAAATCTGTCTCTCTCCCTTCATGTGCTTTCACTCCCCTCTTTTCATTCACTGACGATGCCTGCTCTGGGGACAGTGTGAGGCTCTGTCTGTAGCCTCTGCCTACCGTCCAAGTGGCCAAGGTTCCAGAAGGGCTGAGTTACCTCTTGGGGCTGGGACAATCCTCTGGACACGGGGGTTCTGGAGACGTTTTCAGGATATCCGGGAAGAGCAGCGACTGCAGAGGAACATAATTCAAAGAGAATAAATGGCCACATTCAGGCTGCTGGGGCCTCATCCCAGAGCTGTCCCATACAGCTGTGCAGGTTATGCAGTGCACAACTGGGACAACAGTACATGGCAGACCTGCCTCTGCTCTAGGACTTTTTATCCCAAGGATTCCAAACCTCTGACCTCCTCACTGTCTTCTCTCCTTTTGCACATGCATGCACATATCCAGGGATGCTGTGAGGGGTATGGGGGTGGGCCCTCACCTCCTGTGGGTCATCTTTGAAGGTGCTGTCAGGCTGCCAGCGCTGTGTGGGTGGCACCCCATGAATGCTCTCAAACAAGGAGTTGAGGGAGCTGTTATCATACATATCACTGGTGGGCAGCAGGTAACTGTCCACAGAGCCAGCTTCCAGCTTGCTGGGGCCGGTGGGGAGGGGAGCTGCCTTGCCCTGAGTGGGCATGGCCCCCTCCAAGCTCATCAGGTTATTCTTCTTGAGCACATCTGGGTACTCTGGGGTTTCAGACACATTCTCTGTCAGGAATTTCATGAGATGCGTGGGACTTTCAAGGGGAGCGAGGTCCATCTCATATTCCATGCCATGGTAGTACCTGGGGACAGAGGAGGGCTGAGTGAGTGCACCTCTTCTCTCTGAGGGGCGAGGGGACCCTCAGTTGGACTGGAGGGTGACCATCACGCTGACCCACTGACCTTCTTTAATCCCACATAATGTTAGATCTTCCCGACGTGCATGAAGCAAGACAGAGTAAGAGGCCAGTTTGTCACAGGGATGAGCAGGGAGGAGGGTGTCGAGAATGGAACCAAGTACAGGCTCAGGGTTGAGGGGAAAAACATCTGCTTTATCTTTTATAGTACTTGGTCATTTTAAAAACTGAAAGTTCATTTATTTCTTACCCAGAGTCAAATGTCCCCACCTTAAAACAACTGCACTGAGTCATCTACACAGTGGGGGGGGGGGGGGGCAGGGGAGAGGGGGAGTGGATATTACTGTTAACACAGTACAGTTAATATATGTTGAGAAAAAGGTCTGGAAGGGTATACTCCAAACTGTTAAGCGGGGCAGGGGAGTAGGATTACAGGAAACTTTTACTTTCTACTTTATATATTTTATAGAGTTTGAATATTTTATAACAAACGGGTATTACTTTTGTAATCAGAAAAGCTAACGACATGTTTAAAAATTAGTTTTCAGAAAAGTCCCATGCACAACCCTACTGTTCCTAGCACGGAGGGGTCCTGAGCCAGCAGCATGAGCCATAATGCCTGCCTTAGCAGCTTGGATTTTCTGGAAGGCAGAGAGAAGCCCAGAAGGTTTCCCAGCAGAGGCCCTACATGGTAGGTGGGGAGGCGTGGGGGAGGAGGGTGGGGGAAGAGTAGAGAAAGGGCAGGGTCCCTCTAGTACCCATCTGGCCGTGAGCATGGCCTGGGCTGCCTTCTAGGAGGAGGAGGGGAACATCAGCGCCCCGAGGCTATAATGTCAGGCAGAGGCCCAAGAGAGCCAGAGGAAAGAAGTACCTGAACCCAGGTGTCCCCTCCCCCAGGCCAGGTCTCCCTCCCCGTGAGACTGCAGGGAGGAGGGTTTTGGAGCTAGGACAGAAAAGCTGCCTTCGGGGCTTTTCCTGGACCATGGCTTTGAAGTTTGTTTTCAGTAAACTCCAGCCCACATGGCCTGCAGGCTCTCTAGTGGAACAGGGTCTCATTATGACTCGGTGGGCCCTAGTTTCTTGCCTTCGGACTCTTTCCACCTTAAAAAAAAATATTTTAAAATACCTTTTTACAGTTGCATTGGTATAAAGATAGGTGTAATCCAGGTTGGATTATATTCATTATTTTCTTCTGATTTTAAAATAAATTCTCACTTCCATGGGCCCCTAAGAGTCCTGTGGGCCCTGGGCACTGAGCCTTCTGTGCCCGATTGTTAAGAGCCCGAGGTGGAGGGGAGCATGAGGAAAGGGGCCGAGATGGTGGTTGAGCAAACCTCACCTCTTTCCTTGGTCGTTCCGGCCCCCAGTGCTGGAGGACAGGATCCGCTTCTCCTTGGGGCCCTGAGTGGAGAGGAAAGAGGGATTTATGCATTTATGGCAAGATCAACCTCCTCGGGCGGCCTTGGCCAGACAGAGGAACTACGTTGGTCACTGGGGGGAAAACCTGCCAGTCCTTGGAGTTGGCTGGCCATAAGTCAGTCTGAGTTCCAAGTTAGAGAGTGAGAAGAAGCACCTCAAAATTAGCTGTTAGGCATCCTGGAATTCGAAGTCAGGCAGATCTGGCTTAAGTTCTAACTTTACCACTTAAAAGTGCTGTGTGACTCTGAATAAATGACTTCACCTTTCTGAGACTCAGTTTCTTCATATGGCAAGTGGGGGATTATAATACCTACTTCAAGAGTATTTGAAGATTTACTAGTAAAAATAATGCTTGCTAGTTTTTGTGTGTGTGTTTTTTTTAAGATTTATTTATTAGAGAGAGAGAGAAGAGGGGGGTGGGAAGAGGCAGGAGACAGAGAGAGAAAATCTCTAGCAGACTTCCCGCTGAGTAAGGAACCCGACATGGGGCTGGATCCCACAACCCTGAGATCACGACCTGAGCTAAAATCAAGAGTCGGATGTTCAACCGACTGAGCCACCCAGGTGCCCCTTGCTGGTTTTTAAGATTTCATTTGTAAGTAACCTCTACACCCAACATGGGGCTCCAACACACAACCCCAAGATCCAGAGTTGCATTTTCTATCAACTGAGCCAGCGAGGCGCCCCTTGCTTGCTGTTTTTTAGTCTAGTACTTCTTGTGCACTAGGCCCTGTACTAGGTACCTTCTATGTGATCTCTAATTTAAGCCCTGTACCACACTCTGTAACAGCTACTAATATCATCTCCATTATATGGATGAGGAAACTGAGGCCCGGAGAGGCTCTGTTGTCTCAGTGGTTAGGAGCGTGGACTCTGGATCCAGATTTCTTGGGTTCAGTTCCCAGATATGCCACATACTGGCTGTGTGCCCTGGGGGGCAAGTCCCTTAACCTCTCTGTACCTCGTTGTCCACATCTGTACAAGGATAATAATAGTAACACCCACTCCTGAGCTTGTTGTGAGTGCTTAGACCTAGCACATGGAGAACACTATCTAAATGTGACTTTTCATAATTATAATGTTGTTGTATCTTAGAGCATCCAGGTCATTTTGACCTCTGGCTAATAAAGCCAGAACCAGGTCTCCAACCCAGCCTAGGGACTCCAATGCCTGGGCTCTTACTCACACCCCATGGGAGAGCATGCGGGAAGGTGCCAGGCACAGAACCTGGCATTCAGTAAGAAACCATACGCTGTTACTTTTAGAAGTATATTGCCCAAAACCACACTGCCAGTTTGTGGCCAGATCAGGTCTCAAACTCCCAACTCCATCCCCGCCGCACATCATGAGACCCCATCCTTACTATCCATGGGGCTGTTCTGAACCCAGAGTGCTCTGAAATGGGGAGGTGGGGGTGGGGCAGGTGTTTTCACTAAAACCACGACAGGTATCACCTCCAGAACCTGTCCCCACCATTCTGGCCCTGGGAATGGCCCTTTGCCTGGGAAGATGATACTGGATTTCACATTATGGTCCAACCTCAAACTGTAAATCCCAGCCTGGGGGTTAAATCCAGGCCTAGGATTCTGGCTCTCACCACATCTCCAGCCTGAGGGAGTCAATACAAATTTCTTTCCCAAGGCCTGGTCCAGACACTATCAGCACGCTATGGGTCTGCTGGGGAGCAAGTAAGGTAGGGTAACCACACCCCTCCATGGTGAGAACCAAAGCCAGAAAGAAAATTTGGGGCCTTCTCGTATCTGAGACCATACTTCCCCTCCTTGGCCTGTGAGTTTACACGGAGAGTGTGCTTTCCCCCCTGGGGTAAGGTAGATAAAATATTTCTCGGGTCAGGAAATTTGAGGGCTTATTTACAAAGTGGCTTTAAATCTTCAAGTCCAAAGCCAGTTATCTCAATAATTGGCTGTTTATGTTTCCCATTCTCAAATCTGGGAAAGTCTCTTGGGGCAATCACCCAGCCTAGGGAGAACGAGAAAGCTTGCTATCATGTGATAATTCAGACGGATGGGTAGGGGCTGCCTGGAGTACTGGCTTGAGAAAGATTCTTCAGCTTCCTGTACCCCCAGGGAGAAGGCAGGCTGGAGTCCATGAGCAATGTCTGGCATAGGCATGGGAAGGGGGGGCACTGTGTGTTAGGGATCTGTGATGGCCAACTGGTCAGATAGGAGAGGGCCTCATTCCTGTTCTCAGGTGCTGACAGTCTCCCAGAGTCAAGGCCAAGGCCCTGGAAACCATTAGAGAACCATAAGGACCGTTTGTCAGGAGGTGTTACATTACACAGAATGGAAGCAAGGGCAGGAAGGATAGTCAGACACTCTGGACAGGGACAGGTGACATGGCAAGTGAAAGTGGCCTTGGGAAGAAAAGGAAAGGATTCAAGAGCAGAAGGCATGTTCTAGTTGGTGGGGTTGGGACAGGCGGGTGGGGAGGACAGGGCAACTGGGATGACCTAAGGGACAGGGGCAGAAAGAAGAGGCTGGGGGTGCTATTGTGAGGGGGGGTGTGTGGCCAAGACATCGATCCATTCCATCAATATGTACCGGGTGCTATGTGTGTGGCAAGCAGTTATGGGGTGCTGAGGACTGAGTAATGATCACCACGCGGTTTCCGTCCTCCAAGAGCTCAGTCATGGGGGAATGAAGAAAAGTTTCTAAAGACTTGCTGGCCAAGTCTCTAAAGAGTCGAGGATAATGATGGTAGTTGCTGAGGGTACCTGGAGGCACAGAACGGGAAACCCAAGAAAGCCTTCCCCTTTCTCAGTGAAGGAATGAGACCCAGAGCTGAGAGAAAGGTTTATCCAGGGGAAAGGGAAGGGGGCCAGGCAGAGGGAACAGCATGTGTGAAGACCCAGAGGAGAGAAAAAGCACGGTGTGGGGCCGGGCGTGGGCTGTGGGGCCATGAGGCCTGAGAGCGAAGGCGTGCGTTCAGTCAGAGGGGTACAGGCCCAGCGGGGGCAAACGTACCATGTAGTAATCATAGAGGAAGCTCAGGGCTGCAACACTGTCATCGTCCCCATTGACCCTCATCATGGCCTTCGTGGCGGCCGTCAACGGGTTTTCCAAGTAGGTCTTCCAGGCCTCATCCTCACTCGTGTAGGGGAACTTCTGGAAGTTGACTGGGTCATTCTTTAGCAGTCGCACAGACCTGAAACTGGAAGGCAAGTAGGGAAGGTCAGAGTTAGGCTGTCCCAGAGGAAGGTCCATGAATGCTCAGCCTCAGGACAATGCCCAGGAATTCAAAGAGTTACCAGTCTTGAAAACTTGAAACTGTTTCTTCTGTCCCGCTTTGGGCAGCTTGGGGCAGTAGAACGTACCTGAACTCAGGAGCTAGATGCTTTCAGTCTATTCCAAATGTTGCCATGTAGAAGCTGTCGACCTGGGGCCTCAGTCCCCTCATCTATGACACCAAGACCCTAACCCCAACCTTGCAGAGCTTCGCAGAGGATTCAATTAAAATGCTTCCATGTAGATACTTATTCAAGGGGATTTAGCATAAGAAGGATAGGAAATCATGACAAGCTGCAAAGAACAAAATTTCCAGTTAACCCAGAGTGAGAAGTTCCCCTCCAGACCATGAAAGACTCAGAAGGCTGGCCATGGTTGCCAGTTAGGGAGTGTGGTGAGGAAGCATGTGGGCAGAACCCAGTCTTGGGACGTGGCGTTTCAGACCAACATGGACTGCAGAGGGCCCAGGCAGCTGCCCAAATGCCGGGAACTTGGGCAGGGGAGGGGAAGGGGATGCTGCAGGGCACACAGACAAGGCAGAATCGGGCCCTGTGCGGAGAACTCAGACACATACAAAGCAGGTGGCCCAAGAGACAAGCCACACGGGCTCAAAGGAAAGAGATCACAAGAGGCTCTTCGGAGGAAGGAGACACCTCAGTTGGGGGCCCTCAGCACTGAGGATTATATCATGCAGAAATGTGAAGGGGGGGCACTGGGATAGGGACATGATGCAGAATAATGATGATGTCATTATTAAAATAATATCTAGTCTTTATTGAGCATCGGCCACGTTTTAGGTGCTGAGCTAAGCACTTTCCATGAATTCTCTCGCTGAATTCTCACAACAACCAAGTAAGGCGGATACTATTCTTGTCCCTATTTTATAGACAAGGAAGCTGAAGCTCGGAGAAGTTAAGGGAATCGCTCAAGCTCCTGGAGCTCCAGCAGGATGATGCTGTGATACAGGATAGTGTTCTCAAACTTGAGCTGCATCACAAGGACCTGGAAGGCTTGTTTTTAAAAACACTGATTTCTGGGCTCCACCCCTGGCATTTCTGATTCAGTAAGTCTGATTCAGTTAAGTACTGCTGATGCTGGTAGTCTGGGGACCACCCTTTGAGAATCACTGGTGTAAAACATGCTCCTTGGTGGTGAGCAGAGGCACAGAGGTGGGAAAGTTCCAGTGTGCTCACTTTAGAGCAAAGAGTGTGTGAAGGAGAGTGGTAGCTGAGTAGATGGGAGGGGCTGGACCGGGACAAGAGAACCCCAGGGATGAAGTGGGCACTTCATGGTCCGATGGCCCCCTTCCTAAGGGAGCCTCATAGACTCTCTCACGTTAGGGACACAGAATATGTATGAGCGCTTTCCATCCCTAAGCTCTGCTCCGTATAAGAACACTACGAGGTAAGGATCATTGGCTTCGTTTTGCAGATGAGGGAGCTGAGACTTGGAGAGGGTAAGAAAATGCCCTAGATCACCCAGCTAGTCCATGACACAACCAGGATTTAAACCCAGGCTTGTCTAGTACCAAAGCTGTGTGCTTTCCACTGAGCCGCCCTGTTCTACCATAATGCAAGAAGGGGTGGCATTTCAGACACTGTGGCAGGCTTGTGGGTGGGCGAGGAAGTGCCCCTCTGCTGGCCTGCGCTTGGGCCCACATTCCCAGACTGAGCTGGAACGGCAAGCAGCCCGCACCCAGGCAGACAGTGGGCGGCAGCTCTGCCGGGGCTTCACCCGGGGCCCAGTGCCACCCCCCTCCATCTCCCCGGGTCCCAGGGTGCGGGACGTCGGCTCTGGGAGCTGTCACACAGGAAAGAGAAATGACAGAAACCTTCCTGCTCTAGGGGTGCAGAAAGGGAGGCACACCCCGAGTTTCTGCTGCAATAAATCAAGGGCATTAAGACGGAGAAGTGAGAAAGAGGCCCCTCCCCGCTGCCTCCTGGGCCTGGGGTTAGAAGAATTTGCAGAGCAGGCCCAGGGTAGCTGGCCCCAGCCCCTCCCAGCCCCAGGCTAAAGAACTCCCCGACCAAGAGGTCATGGGAGAAGCAGGGAAAGGCCCGGTGGACACCCTCCCCCCATGTCAGTTGGGATCCCCGGTGCTGAGCACTGTTCCTCTTTTGTAAAATGAGTCTCATAAAAGCACCCACCATGTAGGATTATGAGGATTGAGGGCATCGCTACACGAAAAATGATTAGAACTGACCTTGCCATGTAACAAATGCTTAATACAGGAGAGCCATTTTTGGGCTCTGGACCCAGCTTGGAGCTAGACATCGAGGGGCTACGAAGTGGTTTCAGACATGGTCACCCCACAAGTCAATGGCAGATCTGGGCCCTACTGCCCCAATCCGCTGACTCTGGTGGAATGACCATTATCAGCTTTGAGGAGTTATTAGTTTTTCTCTTACCCTATTTAAAAATTAAAGTTTTGAAGACAACGATAAGGTTGCATCAGGAAGACAAGGTCAGTGTTTGCTGTTCATCTGGGAGGCTTTTCTGGCCTACAAGCGTCTCTAGTCCATCCTGCTGGATCCCTGAGCCTGAGTCCTTGCTGCATAGTGGCTGTCGGACCTTCCGTGTTTACCATAGGCAGACACCATGCCAACAGCTTTTCTGCACTCTCTCTTCAACTCTGGGCCCCTGCCCTGAGAGGTAGGTCTTGCGGAAATTGAGACTCAAACAGGTAATAGTACCTGCTCAAGGTCACTCAGCCGGTAGGTGGTAGAAGCTCAACCTGAACCTGGACCTGTTGGACTCAAAGACGTTTTTTACCCCATGCTAGTCTCCTTTCAGGATGCCTTTCTTATCCTGGAAATTCCCCTCCTCTGGACTACATTGAACCAATGGTCCACTGACAGAGAGACAGGGATTTTCCACCCATGCAAGGCAGAAGGGACTGAGTAAGAAAGCGAGAGGACTGGAAGTTTCTGGCCAGGAGCTGGGAACCCTAGTGTCCTGGTCCCCATGCCTGCTCATGCTACCGATCCACTTCATGTTCCAAGGCTAAGCATTTGGCTTCCAGAAAGTCTTGACTGCCGGTAAGATTAGCATTGACTTGTGTGCCAAAGCCTGAAATCCAAGAATTTCTGGTACCCTGTTCTCTTAACACTGGAATTGAGGATTGAGGGCCCAGTGGGTGAGAGATGTGAAGAGTTCCAAGGACTGAGCCCTTCTTATGGGTGACAGAGCAAGAACAAGGTGGGAGGGGCAAGTGACGCCCACCGTGGGCAGTCACCTTCCCCAGGGACTCCACAAATTCTCCATTGATGCCCCTGCCCAAGGCAGAACTCCTCAGCTACCAGAAGGAGGAGGGAGAATGGGGGAGGAGGAGATGGCAAGAGGACGTAGCTATTTCCTCATCTGCTAAATGGGTCTATTGAGCGTCTTCTGTGTGCCCAGTGAGGAACTCTTCTAGGCCCTGAGGAATCAGCCAAGAACAAGACACAGATAAGGCTCTGCTCCCATGGAACTTACAGTTTAACTGGGGAAGACAGACCATAAACAAGGAGGTAAATGAGTTAATTTTAGTCAGTGATAAGTGCTGTGAAGAAAATTAAAACACAGTCAGGTGATGGAGTCACCAGGGCTGGCTACTTTAGAGCGGGGCTAATCTCCTGGGCTGTTAGGAGAATTAAGCGTATTACCGTAGGAAATGGGCTTAGCCTCGAGCCTGCCAGAGAATAATCACTCAGTAAATAATAGCCATCGTCATCACCATCATCATGACCACCATCATCTCAGAAGCCCCAAATGATAGTCAAGGGGAGACTCTGCCTGAGGTTCTTATATTAACATCCTCCCTAAGCCTCCTGTCTGTGAACGAGGTTCCATGTCAAAAACAAAAAAGAGACAGTATAATAACCCCTTGCCTTGACTTTCACATTCATTATCTCACGGGGCCTCCCAACATACATCATGTGTTATTATCTCTACTTTACAGACCAGGAAACAGACAACAGGGATGCTCGGGGACCTGTTCCAGGCGACTGGCCAAGTGAGTTACAAAGCCAGGCCTCCTGGGATCTAACTCCACAACTAGTCACTTTTCCACAGACCACTAGTTTCCAAAAAGGGAAGTAGAAGAGAAGAAAAACCCAATAAATACGGGTGGCATCCATCCCTCATTTTAACAACTATTTGTCAAAGAACTACTATGTGCCAGGCCTTGTCCTCGGCCAACAAGTAAAGAAGGTCATCCCCCCTGTCAGGCTGCTTGCATTTTAGTGGCAGTAAGACAGTCATGACCACAAAAACAAACAAACGGCTAATGTCAGAGAGGCGAAGAAAGCTATGAAGGAAAGGAAGCAGAAGCCTGACCTGCCTGAACTTTGGGCAGTGACTAGGTGTGGTCAAGAAGAGGGCTTGGGGGTGGGGGGGAAGGGAGCAAGGAGACAGGTGGGGAGGACCTTGGATCTTCCTGAGGAGAGGAGCCACAGGATCCAAGGCATAAGCCTGGGACAGCTCCCAGAGCTTGCCCACCTACTGTGTGCCAGGGTTTTTGCATACGTTGCCTTGTTTCAAGGAAGGCCAGCCCCCTAAGGAGGAAACGCAAGTCAGAGATTTGATAATCCCTCACATTTGCATGGCGTGTTGTATTTTTCAACATGCTTCTCATACATTTGTCATCACCTCTGATCCTGCAACGCCCCTGTAAAGTAGGGAGGGAACGCATGACTCTCCCCCAGGTGATAGCAGGAAAAATTGAGCCACAGAGAGTGCCACTGGCTTGCCTAAGGCCAACCAGCTAGTATGTCATAACATCAGCTTAGAACAGAGGTCTCTAGTTTCTAGTATCAAGAACCTTCTCAAGGCTGCCTCCT